ATTTCAACATGCCAAACGAACTAAACTTAAGTAATTTACAAATGATATTATTTTAATATCTTATTAGTAGAATTAGTAGAGTATTTCTTGAAAGAAATTGCGATATTATATTATTATTATAATTGACGTTTGGAAAATTAAAATGATTGAAAATATATATTATACATATTTAGTTAACATATAAAAAATACAAAAAGTTAATATAAATAATGATAGCCGCGACTGTGCAACTAATTTTCAATTATTTCATTTTATTATTATTATTTTATTATATTATTTTATTAAAATACATTTTTCTGAGTTGTAAGAGAAATCAACAGGTTGCATGAACTTATATTTTTACCCAAAACTAGGGAAAACTTTTTTTTTGGTTTAGTGAGTTTTGGTTTAATGGTAATTATTTGGTTAAATGGATTTCGATGACTATAAGTGGCATTTTGTCTTAAACTTATATCTGTAATTAATCCAAATTAACATTTATCCAAATAAATTGGTTTTGGTAATTATGAGGATTTAATTTAGGAAATTTAATTATGACAATTGCTTGAGAAAGCTAAAAGCTAAATTCTTTAATTGGTAATTACAAAGAGTTGGTGAGGCCAAAACAATTGTAATCGCTGTGAGGAAAATACGTGACCTCTCCCAAAAACTATCTATCTAATTCTCACCAATTACACTTTTTTTCTAAGAAAATGCATTGAAATACATGCGTTTTTTGACAATTTTTTATAAAAAATATTTATCTTTAGATATGATCTGGCTAACAAAGATTGTAAATTCAATTTAATATAAAAATAACATATTTATATAGATTCAGAATGTAATCTGATAAAATGAAATTATGGCGAATAGTTTGCCTATGGTTAAGTAATTAATAAGTACCAATTATAATAATATCTTTCAAAGTTAAGGGAGATTGATGAGAAAACTACTTTATTATTTATTATTAAATTAACTAACGTAGATGTATAACAATTTAGTAAATATATATTATTGCATTAGGTATGTTGCTGCATTTATTGGTACAGGGGTTTGGCATTAGCAGCAACCTCAAAGACAAGCAAGTTGAAATGTCTGTTTCAAAAATAAACTGCACAAAATTTTAGCTGACCCTATAACACCTGTAGAAGATTTACAAAAAACTCCAAACTCCATGCGAACAAATGGAATTACTTGTGCTACGAATACAAGGGGAATTTGTTAAAGCATTGGAAAATGAGGAAAATTTTGATTCCAAATTTCTGATTGATAGATGGAATAGGCAAGATGGTAAAGGGGGTGGAATTACTTGTGTTTTACAGGATGGAGATGTGTTTGAAAAAGCAGGAGTGAATATTACAGTAATGACTGGTGAACTAAAACCCCAGGCCATTCAACAAATGAAAAGTCGTGGAAAGCAATTCAAAAATGAAGGTAGGAACAATAAATTAAACATGATCTAACTGAAATATATCATGATCATAATATTTAAAGCAATTTTACCAAAAAAAAATTGACTTATTAAGTGAAAAGCTCCCTGATTACAAACATAATTTGAAAGTAGCCAGCTTCGAGATAATATAATTGAAACTAATAATGGTTAGTTTACAGTGAATTATCGAGATTGTAAATCACGCATAAAGTAGTCTGAATGTCTATTTATTCCACTTAAATAAAATTTTATCATATTTTGTGATTTATTTTTAATTTTTGACACAGTTACAATGTTTCAATCATAGATACAAATATGCTCAACTATTTATTTTGGGCTTGGGTAATAGTAATATCACTATTTGACAATAATATTGTTCTTAAATATGAAATTGTTGATTAAATTTTTAAATATATAATTATTGAATAGTATAGGTGGACCACTAGAATTCTTTGCGGCAGGTGTTAGTGCAGTAATTCATCCCAAAAATCCTCATGTACCTACTGTACACTTTAATTATCGATATTTTGAAGTTAAGGATTCAGACAATAAACTTCATTGGTGGTTTGGCGGAGGAACTGATCTCACACCCTATTACTTATATGAAGAGGATGCAATGCATTTTCACAGAACTTTGAAAAATGCTTGTGATCTTCATGATCCAGCATATTACCCAAAGTAAGTATTAACTATTGTACTAGTTGTATTCAAAATTTTATGGTTATTATATGGAAGATTAATGCTTTGTTATTTGAATTACCTTAATTTATTCAGTGATAGTTTTTATTGCACTGGCAGTGTTTTAATATATTGCACTCTAATTTAGAAAACATAAGGTAAAATGATTTGGGTTATAAGGAATCCACTTTTTATATATAAGAATGTATAAAAAGGTACATATAGATCACTATCTCTGACCAATTTATTATTATGTTTAATAATGTTGTGGGTGGTGAGCTGGATAGGTGTGGTGTATGCACAAAATATTATAGGGAGAAACACACAAGACAGAAAAGCACAAGGTATATTTGAACATTAGAAATATAATGTAAGACAATTTGAATATTGGTATGGGTTTCAAATATTACAAAAATTTATAATATTATATATATATATATATATATATATATGTATATATATATATATATATATATATATATATATATATATATATAATGGGTACTACTGCCCTAAAGCAGGTCCGTGAGCTGAAAAAAACTCAAACTCAAATCAGGAAGAAAGTAGTGTGAGAGTTTTTCCTATTTCCATTTCAAACAGCAGGTCCCGAGATGGGCTAATTTTCAATTGGAAACATATTTTGATTGATCTATATTTTCAAGTAAAAATGCGACCCCATCCACATCGGTCAGCGAGTTAGCAAACTTGGCCATATAAATAGGGTTGCAGAAGATAAAAATTGGTAAAAGCGCAAACTAATGTAATGAAACAGTATGGGCGCATTGTAATACGAAATTGGTTCACCTGGACATGTAAAATTAAGATGCCTGAAACTTTTAAAATAACTTATCAAAAATTTTTCTATATATCAATTTTCAACTTTATCCTATCTCTCGGTAGAGATATTATTAAAAACATGCAAATGTAGCTCTATTTTAAATTTAATTTTTTCATAAACGAAGTAGAACAAAGTTGGTGTGGCTGTATTCACACTTTGATTAAATCTTCAAAATGTTATTTATACAAATACTAGCAAACCCGACGAACTCCGTTTCGCCACCAGATGGTTTCGTGAGAAAGATGAAGAAATTTTTTGTTTGTTTTATATTTGAAAAGGAAAAATTTGATTTTATTATACAACAGTAATGAATTTATTTCGATTACAAAAATGCAGTATTTTTTAGTTGAACTTCTCTAAGTAAATGAAAGTAAATCCGCAAATTTTCCGTTTCATTGAAGTGCTCTTTGGTAAACCACATTTTTTGTTTTTTGGTCTGACGTTAACACAAACAAAGCGGATGGTTTTCCAACTCGTGAACAGGCAACGTATAACTGCCCATGTGAAAAACAATGATTTCTAAATAATCTATTTGAAATTTATCCCGCAAACACTAAGCGATTGGCCTTGCGACTTGTTATTGCGAACGCAAGGCGAACTGGATATTGCAATCGTTTGAAGTCAAACGGAAGACCAGTCAGAATCATTGGTATGTCACCAAATCGCCAGCAATTTTTGATTGAATGGTGAAATTCAGGGCGTGTACATCATTATTCTTTGCGGCAAGAATTGCTCGTTGACTTAACCAAGCATAATTCTGATAATTCTCACTAATGTCTTTACTCGAATTTTTAATTACGGTGCGTAAAGTTCCAGCAGCTTGCATTAAGGCACGATGCCATGCACAACGAATTTTCTTAGCTATAAACCTTGCGGAGCCCGAGACCTTTCCAACGAATGCAAAATTGTCGAAATCGGTTTGTGCGTTCTGGAGTTATATCGTCAGGAAGGAAAACCCGACTTGTTTTTTATATATATATTAGATAATCTATTTGAAATTATTTAAAACATTGTTGATTATTTTTTATTACTCGAATTTTTAATTACGGTGGTTGAAGTTCCAGCAATTTGCATTGGGGCACGATGCCATGCATCACTAATTTTCTTAGCTCTAAACCTTGCGGAGTCCGAGACCTTTCCAACGAATGCAAAATTGTCGAAAGCGGTTCGTGCGTTCTGGAGTTATTCTGGTCTCTATTAGTCAGGAAGGAAAACCCGACTTATTTTTATATATATAGAAGATATATTAAATTTGGACGTCGTCATGGCGATGCGATATAAACACAATATATAATATATATATATTATATTATAATTTTGTTGACCAATAATTATATTTCGCACAGATTTAAGAAGTGGTGTGATGATTATTTTATTATACCGCATCGTGATGAACGAAGAGGAATAGGTGGAATATTTTTTGATGATTTGGATTCACCATCTGCTGATGAGGCATTCGATTTTATATCAACATGCGCTGATTCCGTAATACCATCATTTTTACCAATAGGTAAAGAGTTATGAACTTTTGTTACTGCAATATATATTGTACCAATACTTCATAGATTCTTTGCATTTTATTTGCAGTCAAAAAAAGAAAAAATGTTAACTACAGCTATAGAGAACGTCAGTGGCAGCAGGTCAGACGTGGTAGATATGTGGAATTTAACCTAATGTATGACCGAGGCACTAAATTTGGTCTTTATACACCTGGAGCTCGTTATGAGAGTATCTTAATGTCTCTTCCTCTGAATGCGGTATAAATCAATATTATCATCATCATCTTTGGAAGATAAATCAATATTGTTTCATTTTTACATTTTAGCGATGGGAATATATGCACAAAGTACCAGCTGGATCAAAAGAGGAACAACTATTAAAAGTATTAAAAGAACCTTATGATTGGGTATCATATAAAGTGAAAGAAAAGTAAATATTTTTATATTTATATAATTGTCTAAAATCTTATTAATAAATTATAAATGATATTCTTGTTAAATTGATATTTCGATTTATTGACTTTTCAGGTTTTCTTAAGGTACAGTTGACAGTAACTGATTTTAAGATTGCAAAATTAATAATTGATAGTTTTTAAGATCTTTGAATACTTCATAAGCATGAAAGTAACAAGTTTAAATTGTATTTTCTGCATATTTTATGCACTTTATTTTGTCATGAGACTTCAAAAAATAAAATAAATATTTGTTATAATGCAAGTGTATTTACAATATATACATTTAACTGCATTATTTTTTTCTGATAAGTTAATCAGACTCTGAAGTAATTTCGTGTGTATTATTTGCATCAATTACCATTTCCTCATCTTGTTCTTCATCTGATACTTCATCCCAATTATCATCTGATGAAGATTGCAAAGCTGCAATTTCATCAGATTCTGATTCACTTGAATCTGGAAGCAAATACAGATGATATAGATGAAGGAACAAGCAATTTATAGAATATATTTTAATATTTTTAAGATCCAGCAGATCACAAGCAAGAAAAACAAGATGCTGTGCAATAAGGACAATATTGTAATATTGAGGACCATGACAGAATGGTGCCAATTTTGGTCAGGTGTAATACAATTGTTAAGATATCAACGACAATGGAAATTGATTGAAAAAATATCATCCAAAAGTAATTAATGGTCAACCTATACTAAAACTTAACTTTATACAATCAATTTACAAAATGTATGTTAATTTCTCAAATTTTTCTAATATTCTAAGGAGAAAATGTCATATGGTAATAAAAAAATTGCGGACACTTACCTGGATCTTGAAAAACTAATAAATTCTTTTCAGTGTATTCTTCATTGCACTGATCTTGTACTGTTGATATTTGATTAATCAATAAATCTAAACGACCTTGTAATCTGAAATTATTAAGAATATGCTACCTGGAATAAATTAACTTTTTATAATATCTATTTGAAATATATACCTTGATAAAGGTTGTAAGAGGTTTAATCGATTCTCTATTAATCCAAGACACGGTGATAATATCTCTACAAGTGTTTCACTTCCGACAGACATCAGATGTGCGGCATGTGATTGCAGTAGTATCCTAAACCACATTGTGCCAATTTGTGAGCTGAAAAATGAAAATAAAAAATAAAAGAAGGATCAATAACAATTTTTCATATGTTTAATAATATATTTTTGTAACAATATTAACCTTAGTGTTTTACCATGTATATAACTAGTTAGTTCTCGAATGAGAGGTATGAGATATTGAACAGGCAGCCTGCTGATGGTATTTTGTATAATTTTCTCGTCCTTCTTCATGAGAACTCCCTGCAATATACTGAATAAATATATTAATAAGATTTATAATTAATAAGATTGTTGAAAAAATAACTCAAATACACATATACGTATATACCATACCATACTATACATACATTCACATATGATAAAATTCAAAAATATATCAGTTTATTTTTATCATTATATGTATTTATACATATAATAATAAAATTCTTAAAAAAATTGTAGAAAAAACTTAAAATTGGTAAACTAACAATGCAAAATACTAATAAGAAACTCTATCTAATAAGGTATCTATCTATACAAAATGCAGGATGTAACTTTCAAATCAAAATATAGCTAATATTTAGTCACAAAAAAGCTCAATTTTGACATAGAGTCCTCATGTAAAAAAAATGTCCAGGCAACCAAATAATTTGTTGAAACTCAAAGTATTCATTACAATATTAGGAAATAAAAAAAATCTTATTTTAATTTATCATAACGCCTACTTTTTATCTTTGCTGTGAAGTCCTTGTATTAGCAAATGAGACATGTTGTCATATTTTGGCAAACCTTTTGTTGGACTATCAACCGCTAAACTCAAATTTTCTAACCGACTCTCCATTGGTAACTCAATCTGAAAAGTAAATTATGACAAAGTTGATAATAATTTGTTTATTAAAATAAATCATGTAGCTAAATAAAAGTCTAATGCACTTTTTTACATGACATATATAAAAGACACAAACCTTTTTTCCACTACTTCGCTTTAAGTTATAAATATGACCAGAAGAAGGACCTAAATATTCCACATCTTGTGTTTCAGTCACTTTAGTCTTCTCTATGTTTTCTTTCAATTTTTTAGCTGAGGAATATGGATCTTGCCTTACTAAAACTTGTATCTTACCAATTGCTTGCGGCTTCTGTAACAAAAACATTACACATTCATTTAAAAAATTTGAAATGGTCAAGTTTTTACTGCATATCCTTAACAAAGCAAATACACATTGATTTCTTTTATTTAACAAAAATTTAATTTTAATTTTTAAACCATAGTAATGAATTTAATATTTCTATTTTTATAATTATATCAACAAAACTAAATATAGAATGATAAAGTCAAACAATATCGCCTCAAATATTCATAGATAATTATATATTAAATTTTTAATGAATGTATATATTAATTTTTAGCGGGTGCTTATTTTTATTTTACACATTCCAGAAACGAGATATCGACTTATAATGATAATTATAAATAAAATAATTTTGAAAAAAAAACAGCAACTTTTAGCTCAAAAAAAAAGAGATAAGAAAAAAACCTACTATTTTCTCGAAAGTCATATTCAGATAAGTGCCATAACCAATAAGAATTAGGTCTTCATTTACTACATGCCCAGTGAGAATTGGTATTGATTGAATTTTGTTATTAGAAGAATTTTGTTTGTCAAATACAACTTGTAATGTAAGCTTCGGTTTCACAGGTTTAGACAATCTTCTGTAATAAAAGATAGAAGTAAGAAATGATTTATTTAATGTGAATTACAAAAATAAGTATTTGTGATACAACATAATTTTCTCACCCATTTAATATATGTTTATAAAAATGTAGCACACCACTTCTTGTAACAGCTGTTAAGCACAATCCATTGTCTTGAGAATTAAAGTCAATAGAAAGAGAATAAGCTATATCCTCCATTTGAAAACTAGCATATGGCATCTTATCCTTTATCTGTAAAATTGAATTTATAAGTTTGTGACACAACCTTATTCATTCTATAATATATAATACCTTTGTTATGCTAACGATACTTATTTAAAAATTTTGAATCACAATTTAAAGCTTATTATGAATCTATGCATGAAAGAACACAACTAATAAATAGTACATAAACAAAGCATGCATATTTCACCTACTGTAAAGAACATAATGCTCCTGAAATTCCGACCAACATTTATGGTATAATTTTAAAAGCACAACAAAATTAAATGCAGTTTTTTATGGTATTTCGCTTACTATAAAAAACTAGTCTAGTATAATTTATTCATCATATTAACAATAAATAAATTAAACAATCTATTAATTAAGAAATACAATGACAAAAATTAGTTAATAGAAAAATTACTTCTCCAGAAATATTCCAAGCATTCAATATGCGATCGTTTCTACCGCCTGACACAACAAATGTATCATTTTCGCCATCCTCATTAGCAATTGTTACAGATTTCATAATTGACACAATTGAACTATGCCCAGTGAATGATTTAAGTAATGTTTTGTTTTTCAAGCACCACATCTGAATAGTTCGTGCTGCTGAAAATAACCTTCTGTGTTGAGAGATAAGAAGTAATGATGTCGGAAACTCTTTTCCAGCACTCCATGATCTGAAAACAATGATATATTCAAGAATTTTGTATGCCAACATACAAGAAAGTTTGATAAAAGAATTTAACCTAATACACAACTCAAAGTGCCGTTTTCTAAAAATTGTTTTTAACTAGTAAAAAATTGTAAGTTTTTGACTATTATGAATATTGAGAAATTTAATACATTACATGCTTTTTCGACGACTTTTCAGACACCATTCAATTATCGTAGAATCATCAGCACAAGAATATGCAAAATCACCTCTTTCATAAGAAATACAAGTGATTGATCCACTGTGTCCAGTTTTTGCTGAAAAATCACAAGTCACAACATAAAAGTAAAACTACTAAATAAATTTTTATTGTTTTATAATGATTACCTTCCCCCAGAGTTCCAGTAATTTTGCCTTCATTAAAAGAATACAGTAACACACTGCCATCATTTGTTCCTAATAGTATTGTATACCCCTCCTCTTGATCTACAGCTATAAAACTCTTATCAGCAGATTTACGTTTTTTCTTCTGTGGATGTTCTTTCTATATTTAAAAAACTATTTTATTATAGATTCAAATACGTACTAAATGTTAATATAAAATTATTTAGGTATAACCTATAAAATATATTAAAAAGCGTAATTACTCAAATTCATTAATAAAAAATACATGATTTTTAGCAAATTTTGAAGGAGAATAAAATTACAAAAGCCTGATCATTTATCGAAACATAATTTTAAGCCATACCACGTGTATTTGGACTAACCGTGTGCTTTATCCACTGCAAACATGTGCATGGTGAACTTAAATGTAAGTTTGGTGTAAATTCCTGTTTTAATGCATTATTTTCAGTATCCCAAATTTTTAATTTTCCTTCAGCAGTTATACTGGCATAATATTTTATGTCCGGCGAAAACGCCGAATTATTTATATTTATCATTCCAACAGCCATTTCACACTTTAAAAGACTTGCACTCAACTTATTTATTTGTGGTTAAATGTCATTGATCCTGTCATTCATAGATATAAGAAGAGTATGCTTTCAGTGATGGTCATTACTAGCAGGCCATAGATTAAAGATGGCTTAGATTATTCACTCTTTCACTTTTGACACTAATGTTGCATGTATTTTGTACACATACCTTTAGATGTCGCACAACATTTTTCATTAAAAATGTGAGCCGTTTATTTTTTGAAAATTACTAGAATACATTTAGGACATTGGGATCATTATATCGTCTAGGATTAGAATTTTCACTGATTATAACAATCATATTAAAGAATTAGAATGTACAAATTATACGTCGTGCGGAATCGAAAATATTAAGATGCATTGTGACGCACCCTGATATATTACGAATGACACTCTACTTTAAAGACTTAAAAATAAAAACTATTAATGAAGTAATAAAAGAAAGAAGCAAAAAATACCACAAAATATTACCAGATCACCCAAGCAAATATCTAAAAGAATTAAGTGATCTCCTACTCGAAGATTGAAAAAAAAATGGCTATATGATCTTAAATAAAATATAAAAAAAAGAAGAGATATCTCATAGAAGAAACTCTTCAAACTCTTTTACACTCAGCATATTGTCTTAAAAAATTATATTATTTTGATGGGCAATAAATCTATGCAATAAAAATTATACTAATATATATACAATACCCACAATTCGAATACTAAAAGCATATGCCTCATATCAACAGTTGTATTATTACGTAACTGCTTAGGTGCAATGAAATGAAAAATCTTTAAGTGCTCATCCAAGACTCCTTTCAAAATTCTTGCATTATAGCGGTAAGTGAGATATTTCCTTCTTTCATTAGGAAGAGTACAATCCATATATTCATGATTGAGACCAATTCATATTCATATTTTAATTATTTTATATTAACTATTCATATAATTAATTCAGAACTCATATTTTTCTTATAATTTTGATATCTAAAAGATTTTCTATTTTCTATCATTCTGATGTATTTATATTAAGGATTTGTTTTACTTCATATTAGGGTGGTATCAAACTGTAAAGTGTTAATTATCTATTTGATTCTTTAAATAATACTACTTTATTTTAATACTTTAATGAATAAAGACAAGAATTCAAGCTATAGTTTTATAAAACTAATATAGTAGTAAATGCCAGAGCTTTATATGCTATATATACCACGGATAAAATTTAATATATTCAACATATATTCATATTTCATTTAAATTATTATGCATTGAATATATATATTTCCAATTCTTTATATTTTAAGGCCAATATATCAGATAAAAATCAAAATTTTTGGAAACCATTCTGAAATGATTTATTTTGTTTAGATTTCTTGAGGCAGTAGGCAAAGCAATGTCCTTATCGCAATTGAAATTATCACTGAAATTTTTTTTATCGACATCTTCTTGATCAAATTTATTTTAAAGATTCCCAATATTTTTAAAATAACTTGAAAACTTCTTCATTTACAATTGATTCAATATTTCCTATATATATATATATATATATATATATATATATATATATATATATATGTTGAAAGTTTCGTCGACGTTGATACATATTTGTAAATTTTTTAGCAGCCCAACAGTCGAATTAAAAAAGATTAAATAACAAAATTATTTATTCAATTATACGTTTCGACACTTGATGTGTGTCATCATTCAGTAATCTAAAAACATTTAACATAACGAACAAGTGATGATAAATATAAATATATAAAAGGAGGAAATTATACATACCAAACCAGGAAAAACAAAAAAATTAATTATGATGTGAAAATTGATATAAACACTAACTTTGTGTAAAATATTTCCCAATATATTTACAAGAGGGTTAATCAACATACTTATAATTCCAGAAACCCAAATCAATTCAAAACGATGCTTTCTGAACATATGATTAACTTGAACCACTCCTTTAACATGACAAATCCCTCAATCCTTTACATTGAAATGAACAGTGACCTTAGAAAGATAGTTGAGTCTTTACTTATATCCCTCAATACGTCTTGTGTAAACAAACGTAATTCCTCTCATCTCTTACATGATAGTTACAAAGTAATTATTAATTTCATGAAAAGTAATTCAATACAGTTTTAGAACCTTTCATTCTTTTATATTTCTTCTCTGTTTTTCCTTCCCCTTTCGTTCTTGCTACTCCTCCCACTCCCATACGCGCACGTGGCTTACACTGCGCTGAGTTGTATGTTTAGCCTTGAATAGTACACACAACACTTTCCGATGTTAACTTAAATATAGGAGGGCAATATTTGCTCCTCCTATAAACTCGTTTGTTAATAATAGTTTTTTTTTTTTTTATATTTTACACAAAGTTAGTGTTTATATCAATTTTCACATCATAATTAATTTTTTTGTTTTTCCTGGTTTGGTATGTATAATTTCCTCCTTTTATATATTTATATTTATCATCACTTGTTCATTATGTTAAATGTTTTTAGATTACTGAATGATGACACACATCAAGTGTCGAAACGTATAATTGAATAAATAATTTTGTTTTTTAATCTTTTTTAATTCGACTGTTGGGCTGCTAAAAAATTTACAAATATATATATATATATATATATATATATATATATAAAGTTTACTGTATATTTGCACAATAATCTGTATATCGTTAGTGTTCACTTTTTCATTTTGTCTAATTCCAAGCAATAATAACTGATAATATTGCATATATATTTATTATTAATTAAGACTAACCATTACTGTTAAGGATTAAGCACAGTTTAAAATACAATAATTTCAATACATTTTTAATCAGTTTAACTAAATCACAAATTAGAATATGTTCATCTCAATTCTTTTTCAATTTTATGGCTTCAATAAGATTACGAGCACTTGGATCATCCTTAAATAACATTTGCTTTTCTTCTTCAATTCCATGAAGAAATTGTTTCCTATTATAGAACTGTTCTTTAACATGCCAATTCAAATTTATTAAATATTTCATTATATACTTAACCTATTTATGAATGCTACCAAGGTAATCATTAAAAATCCTCCAAATAACACTGGAAACCTATAGAGGGTAGTAGGAGGTATTTTAGATTGTCCCATTTCACCTGATTGTATATTGTTCTTGCGAATATTGCTCTTTCTTTTCTTAATAAAAATTATGTGTCAGCGATCCATGGCGTAGGCATGGCGTAATGGCGTATTCCATTTTACCATTTTACATTTCGTTTACTCCTTTCATGCTTCATGTCATATAGACAACCGTTATTCCCTCGTTAGGACTTTTTTTTTGACATTAAATTTTATCAGAATCGATACAGACTTCTGTAGTAACTTCGTTTACAATTTTATTTTTATTTTTATCTATAGATGATTACAGACATTTTATCTATGATTACAGATTAATCATCAGGATCAGGACCATAGATAAAAGAAGAGTATATTTATGCTCCTGATCAGGACGATCAGGAGCATAGATAAAAGAAGAGTATATGTCAGTATCAGTGCCCGATCTAAAGTTAAGTTTTATCTATGAACGGGAGAGCTGTCACAATGCCATTATTATTTGTTTATTATTAAATAGTATTTATCACGTAAAATTATTCTTCAAATAAAGTTAATATACTAATTCAACTGCAACTCATTTCTATAAGGAGAAGAAATACTCGCATATTACATTTTTCAGAATAAACTTAGGGGTTAAGTTTTTGGGGTTAGTAAATTAAGCGGGAAAACAAGGATCTGGTGTAATAACAAATTACATAAAAAATAGTTTTTTATAATGGTTACAAGGGAGACTATATGTGAACAATTTGAAGCCTTGGGTTCAGTTCCATCCGACATTGTTTTGAGTAAATGTGTTGAAATTTGTGCAAATTATGGAATTGACGACCCAGAACAGTTCGTTGAGCAATGGATGGCATTCAGTATTTCGAATCTGGGGGGCGCAGAACCAACATTGGAATATTTAAAACAAATGGAAAGGAAAGAGCTAAAACGAAATGAAAATGTTAAGGAAACAAAGATTATTCCCGTGGATAGCTTTCCACCTCATGAATTATCATTGACCAAAGAAATTTTATCCTATAATTCTTATGTGAATGACTTAGATAATTCACAAATAAAAGATGATATTGAATATAAGCCTGGTGCTGTGGTCTGTACATATGGTAAGTTAAATTCTAAGGTCACCACCTGGTTGAATAAAAATCTCAAATATAATGTGGAGTTGCAAATTGTACCAAATAAAAAAGGGGAATATTTAGATAATAACGCTCTTTACATGTTTGATAATTTGGCAGATAAATGTAACATTATAGGAGATCATATGTATATAACTGGCCTTCAGCTATGTGATAAATATTTAAACAATAGCAGTCAAACAAATGCTTCAGACAGTACTATTGCAAACACTTCTAATGCTCAAAACACAACACACTATTCAAAGTCGACTAGTAATGATTATTCTGAATTAAGTTTTGTCAATGCTAGTGGCCAAGATATTAAGAAAAGCATTGGTCGAATAGTTTGTGATGCCGATGGACGTCTAAATCCATCTTCCGTTATGGTTCATAGTACTGATGATCAAGCACTTAGAAAGTGCCATTTAAACTTCAATAACTTACACAGTTATGACTTATATCCCGGTCAAACTTGTATGATAAACGGAGTGAATCCTAGAGGAGATACTATTTACGTATCAGACATTAAAAGTGAACTATCATCAATAATGCCAAATTCTTCCCAAATTACAGTTACAGAAGGTCCACTGCATATATTTATAGCATCAGGGCCTTTTACTTCCCCAGACAATCTGAAATATGAACCATTCAAAAATATTATAAGTTATGTGAAGAAACATCAACCCCAAGTTATCATTCTTTTAGGCCCTTTTATAGATAGCCAACACGAACTCATAGTGGAAGGAAGTTTAAATGTAAATTTTAATGATTTTGTTGAAACTTTATTAACTGATCTTATGGAAGCAATTGAAAATCCCACAAGTAAAATAATAATTGTGTCATCATCTAAAGATGCTATATCTGCAGAAGTCTTTCCAACTCCTCCGTATAAATTATTTAATGGATTAAACAAACCACACCTTATGCTGCTTCCAGATCCTTGTACTATCAATATTCTAGGAATATTGTTCACTCTAACATCAACAGATGTCGTGAGGCACATGCAGGAGGAAGAATTGGTTCATAATGCTGGTCGAGATATAGTTAGGCGATGTATTCGTCGTATATTCAGCACACGGAACATGTATCCCATATACCCACCATCTAATGATGTCAGCTTGGATACTCAATTATGGTCGCAGTTCTGTGAAATTGATTCTATTCCCCATATTATGGTGCTTCCTAGTGATAATAAATATTACATTAGAGACATAGACGGTTGCATCATTATAAATCCTGGTAGAATGGTTAATGAAAATTCAGGAACATTTACGAGACTAGAAATACATCCAAGTGTAGGTACAAATAACCTGATTGAGAGACTTGCTTGTCAAACAATAAAGGTTTAATTACAGCCATGTAAATCATTTTAAATAAATTATTTTTGTAAAATTTGAACTTGTTATATCATTTGGTAACAGCTGGTTTTGGATAATTTAGAAAACAATTTACTTAATCATTTAATTTCAAAATTATCACTAAGCTTCAGATATGTTGACATTATAAACTATACATTAATTGATATCTTTTTTGAAGCTCAAACAAGAATTAGAAGACATGTCCGTGCATTGCACTTTTTGAATTCAGAACTTATGAGTAAGTTTGGAATATCAATTACTAACTGATACATCTGATGCATTATTTATCATAACTAATTTGACTTTAAACAAAATTATCAGCAACTTCTCTACTTAGTAGATCAGATAATAGTTTATGATATTAATATAATATCTAGCATATATTTTGACAAATATTATCCTGTTAAGATACATATGCCAACCCTATCTCTTGTTTTCTAATCGTAACTAATAGCCTATTCTTATTTATCTTTGTCAGCGAACAATTGCGCACATGTGTTCACATATACCATACTAAATCATCTATGCAATATGGTTGTGCATTTATTCACTGTTATTTAAAATAAAAATATTCAAATATAATTAGCGTTAAAATTTAAAAATAAATTTTGAATTGATTCATTTTATTATATTTAACCATTGTAACAAAAGTGGCCATGTTTTCATCAAAAATACACAACATATAAATAAAATCATTACCACACAAACTGAACAAGTGAGTATATGTACATATACATATACATGTATAAATAATTTTCTAAAATTTTTATTAAATATCCTAGACAATCTTCTAAACTATTCATCATTGGTACCATTATTATCATAATCTAAGATTTAAGATAGTTCACAAATATATTTACAGAATTATCATACTATTAATTATCTATAATTTTCTGTGCTAATTATGATATTGAACTCATGAATTAATATGTAATCTATGAAATAATTGGTTTTTAAAAATTCATGAGTCCAAATAGTAGTTTTCCAATTGGAATGAAAATTATAGATATGTCTATCATAAGATAAAAATGCAATTTAAGGAAATAAATTAATGCTGATTTTTTAATTTCATATAGTAGTACTCTGAAGAATAAAGCACTGAAACTTCAAATTGAATAGCTATATTATTCTTTTCTAGTTCTGCGCTTCCTTGGAGCATCACCCGCTTCAGAAGGTTTCTGGAATAATTAAAAATAAGTAAATAATATCAGGTTTACACCTGATTTAAAATATAATAAGTAAATATTTTAAACCCAAATATCAACATTATAATGTACTATGCAAAATATGAACTTAATTATTCATATGCAGTTCATTAAATTTGATCTCTTCACCAAAGAATTATTAAACTATTAGAAGAGCTTACCGTTTCAATAACTTCATCATCCTTATCCTTGTCTTCATCATCTTCAACTTCTGAATCCTCTTCTTCGTCACCCACTGGTTCATGATTTTCAACAACTTCATCTGTTTGAGGAATCTCCAAGTTCTCCTTCAAATTCTGAGACCCAGAGCGAGACAATCTTTCATATTTAGAATCATCAGCTGTTGGTTCGTCAGTCTTTTTTGCTTGAGCTCTTTTTTCCTCTTGTTTATCCTATGTGATTAATTTTACAACAAACAATAATCCAATAATAAATAATATAACTAAAAGTATATTAAGACCAAACTAATATCTGAATTAACTAGAAGTATATTAAGACCAAACTAATAACTGAATGTGCATCATTTTAAAATCAATAAGTACATTACTGGTATAGTCTAAACAAGCATATCTAGTTGTAAATAATATTAAACTTGAGGTTAAAATCGGGAATGCTGCCTGGACATCAACGGAGCCCATCAGCGCCTACATACACGGGAAGACCAGTAGTATGAATCATCGGCGCCGAACCAAATTTTGGAGTATTGTTACATTTGAAGCAAGGCGGCATGGACAAGAGATATGGATATCAAGAAATGTTCAGGAGAAGTAGTGGTGAAGTTTTTAGTTGTAATATTTTAGGAGAATTGAGAAAATAAAAGACAGATAAAGTAACGACGATAAAGTTCTGCAAAGACCTATGTTAAATAAAACTGCAAAACAAGAAAGAAACTTGGATATAGAAAATAGGCCAACACAGGCCAAATAGAAGAACTGAAGAATCTGGGACGAAAAAGTATGTAGATAACCAACTACTTGCATGAGAAAAGAAATATCGGTGAAAGAAAGTCGAAGAACATGATGTCTAAATACAAAGAAAGTGGTACAATATTGTGAAGGTATTCTAGCACAAGGGCATTATCTTTAGAATACCAAGAATGATCCAACACCTTGATGAATAGGGATCTTCAACCTCTAGTGGACACATTTTGTAGACTAATGTATTGCACAAAAGCAACATACCGCATTTATGCTTACTAACAAAACTCTATACATATTATAATTTTTATCTATGTATTAGTTATAATTAATTTTATAAATTACTCTTGATATATATATATATATATATATATATATATATATATTATAATTAAACAATTACCTTTCCGGAACAGCAGAAGAATAAAAGCAAAGCTATCGGTAGCCCGATTACTACAACATAAATGGCCCACAGCCATGGTCTGTCATGAGTATAGTTCAACAATCGGGTGACTAATGATTCCTACAATAATTTTGAAATACCTAATACATTAACTATACTAATGCAATAAAAATTAGTGACATTACTCACACAATAATATATGTATATAGAAACTATCTATATTAAATACGATTCGAAATATTGGCAAAGCGAATTATTTCAGTCAAAAGTACCATTGATTCCATAAAATCTACTTGAAGCAAGTTCTGATTTGAATTTTAAAATATGTCAACTGCATTATAAATAATTAATAATTATAACTACAGCATTTGAGCAACGCTTCTTATTTAATACTAATATGGATGTTTTCAAATTTCCTTGCTCCCAGGGGCTCAAATGTTTCCAAATTGATAAAAAAAACTCTCTGAAAGTTTTAGCACTTAATATTAGCTAACCAAAGTTTCTATGGAAATCATTGTAAACACACAGTTAAAGTACACATGGGTAAAATTCCATTTGTTTTATAACTGTGAAGACAAGTGAATCAAAATTTTGAGAATAACATTGTATTTGCTTATTTTCGAGTTTTGAGAATAACATTGTATTTGCTGATCATAAATAAAAATTTGATATATTTCATAAAATAAGTATTTACTTAGGTAGAACCAAGAAACTTTGGATGACTAAAACTATCAGACAATTTTTTTATCAATTTGGAAGCATTTGAGCCCTTGGGATCAAGAAAATTCCAAAACGTCCATATTAAAGACCACCCTAATATATATATATATATATATATATATATATATATATATATATATATATATCTTTTTTTCTTTATCTTAATAAATATTTTTCATCTTAAGCAATATTATTGATGATATACATTTCATTCAAACTATGGTTGTCTTATGGTTGAAAATATTAAACTTCGTTCCCTACAAGCTGTAATGAAGTATAATTTATTAATACTCGATACTGAATCCTGTTATGAATGTAGATCATATACTATATATAAGATGTCTGATCTACTCACAATCAGATTCATGTAAATTAAAACATATATGAGTATACAAACATATAAGGTCATGGTACTGTAATTGCAATACACTATTTAGAAGCAGTTCTACAAGTGTTGGAACAAATTAAGGTGTATTCTATAGAAAAGTAAGAAAGGTATTATGTAAAATGGAGTACACCTCACCGATTCAGTTAATAAAGTAAATTTACATTGTTTGCAATTGTTGATTCAAGAAAAGTTGAATTTCACTTGATCAATATGTAATTTGAAATATGCGCTTTTTATAGTATGAAATGCTATACCGTTTTCCCGATTACTCCCTGTATTCTAATAATGCCAGTAAATATCGCATGGTTTAATGCATAGTGTTTGTGATAGATGGTCACATGTGCAATGTTGACATTTTCTCGAGCATGGTATATAATGTTTTTTCATACATTTCTGTATGTTTTAGATTAAACATATTCAATAGAGTTCTAATAATCGATTTGCTTCATCATTTTCACTAATATTTCATCCAAAATTTTGAAAAATATTTAGTATCAGTGATCAAAATAAAACAGTATTTGCTAGAATCTTTGGTGTTATTTTAACTGGAGCATGATAAAGCGACTACAAAAGACAAAAGTCAACTATAGCTTACTTATAGTCATAATTACCTATTAAACATATAAATTTGCTAGTGTACTTGGGTGCAAAATTTGATTCTAATATTTGGCCATAATAATGCTGATATTCCTAACATGTAGTTAAGAAATGTTTAAGTATTTCAATAAGAACAGGGAATTTGCATTATTTTAGAATTGAACATTCTTGGATTAGATATAAGAATAAATTAAATTCCATGCATAGCAATAATTCCATTTACAGTTATATCTCGACTCCGATTTTAGAATATTAAAACCATTATTGCTCTGAATAAGATATCTGTATAAAGTCAAAAACAAAGTTGTATAACTATTTTATGTTATGTTATTTATGTTATGTTATATTATTTATGTTATGTTATTTATTTTGGATGTGTTGAGCTATGAAAAATTGTAATTTTTTTTTTTTTTAATATTCTGAGAAAACTTTTATAGTGTTTTTTAAGTAACTGTCTTCCAGAGCAAATTTTAATTAAAATACAGTTTGGTTTAATCTGATACAATCTGATTTAATCTGATTATCGTTGCATTTATAGAAATGCATGTATTTAAGATTTTAAAAAACACATCAATTGCTTAAATAAAATCAATAGATCATATAAATAAAAAAGATTAATTTTGATTTTTGTTTCATAGATAAGTGTAAGAAAAGTTAAACTATTTAAAATAATTCTGTTGTAAAGTGTGCTGCATTATAAATGAGTTTTTAATAGTATGTATATTATAATACAAATTCCCCATTTTCTGATTATGTAAAAATATATAGTAAAAAATAAACCTTTTTGTATCGATGCCCAAGATATAGAATATAAAATAAAACAGGAGTTATACAGTATACTGCATATACCAACCAAGCCAAAGGCTTGAAATTCAGCAGACGCAGAAATCGATGCTGTAGTGATTTCTGTATAAAGTTTATGAATAAAACATTATAGCAACAAACGCATGCACACACACACACAAACACACTCACACACATATATATATATATACATATATATATATATATATGTAAATATAGATATAGTATATAGTTAGGTTTAAAGATGGTGCGTTACATCACTAAAAAGTTGTATGAATGTTTTTTAAAAAATTATTCGATTTCCATACAATTCAGCTATAGTCCTACCCGTCAATCAGTGGAAAAATTTGCTCATATTAGTGTTGAAACTAAAAAATATAATGATCCATGGCATGATGATATAGTAAAGCACTTTACCATGTAATTATAACTATGTTTGACAATTATACTGGCATAAAAATATTACAAAAGAGTAATTGTACAATATATGTAACACTTACTGCTTTTCAATGTTATTTAAACTATTATTTTTCAAAATATTCATACAATTTTTAATTGATGTAATGTATATATATATATATATATATATACATATTTTTAAATACATATATACATATTCCCATAAAACACAGCAACTGTATAGCACGCACTCACTTTAATACCGTTTGAGAATTGAGCAAAATAATGCATATAAACCATTATTTAAAACCATTTGAAATGTTTTTTTGTAAAGCGCGTAGATACATTAGCAATTCACGCTCTTCACACTTGTCTTTTGTTTAAGATAACATGAATTTGCATGGCACGGCAATGAATTCTATGCACGTATATATGTATAAGTGTCATGGCATGGCAAATTTTTGGAATAGATTCATGCTATATGGGTGCTATCTGAATATATATATATAAATTACTATCCATATATACATGTAGACATAAATGAAAACTTACCGATTCTTTATCAAGGTGGACTTTTTTAAGAATGAAAGTAGCATCAGCCCATGAATTAGCATTATTCTCATTATCAGTTATTACAATATTATCAAATAATAAATTAGAAGACATTGACCACAATTCTATACCAACAGCTGCCTATAAAATAATACAATCAGATGTAGAGGCAATAATACAAAACAATGTTCTAATAAAATTAAGTAAAATTGGGAATTATAAAAATAAAAGTTAATGAAAACATAACTAAAATTTATAATAATTAAACAAAAGATAGCAAGAAAGTATATATTATATATAATGTAAAATATATGCATGTATTTATATGTGCATATATATGTGTATGTGTATGCATATATTATATATATATATATATATATATATATATAATCATGCAAATGATTATTTGAGCAGCGGTATTATTTGACATATGTGGATTTCAGATTGCTCCGCCACTCGGTGTTTGCTGAGCAAAATAAAAATGCAAACATCCCAAAACGCATTTTATATAAAAAATTAGTAATTTCTAGAGAAAATAATATTAAATAAATTGGCTATTCATGAGAAACAAGCACCTGTAGCTAAAATAAATGTAATTAGAAAGTTTGGTCATTTGGCTACAAACTAAACTATAGAGATGATTTGAAGTGTAAATGGTTTTGAATAAAATATATTAGTTATTCTTCCAATGATAAATTTACATGTAATATTTGTTAATACTCACTATAGGAGCCATTTTAAAAGGCTGTAAATCTTGGAAATAACCAGGATTGGCTATCATTTTAGGTGCCCATTTCCCTCTATAATTAGGATTAGTAATATATGGTGCTCGCCATTTTCCTTTATATTTCGGGTTTGATATCAATGGTGCTTTCCATAAGCCACAACCAACAGCACCTTCACAAGCAGGATTAGGAATCAAAGGAGCTTCCCAATCACCATCCATATCAGTATCCCAATCAGCGGGTTTGACTGCATCAGGGTCTAAACATGTATGCCGATAATCAATCTTTTCATATATTTATAATACCAAAAAATATGATAAATACTGAATATTACTGATCTCGACTTTCAGATTTCAGTATTTGTAAGCTCGTACTATATATGTATATACATACATATACACACAATAAGAATTATTATTTCTTAGTTATCTTTTTCAATTGTATTCTACCGTTATTCTATTTAAAATATAGACCATGCAGACTCTGTTACTTAAAATGAAACAGAACCGAACTCACCAGGAATCATTTCTTCTTCAGTATCCAACCAACCAGCAGGTTTTTCTGCAGATGGGTCAACAATTTGTGCAGGCTCATCCTCATCCCAATCATCAGGTTTTATTGCTTCAGGATCAGGTATCTATTAGAAATGGAAAATATAGCTTGAATCAACTAAATTTGTTTATACATATTATATATATGTCGTGCTGTGTTAGTGTTGACAGTACATTCTTACATACTTATTTATACATACATACATACTATCAATTTAATAAAATACTTTGTTTTTGGACCTTTTCTCTATCATCCCAATTTTCTGGTTTGACATCATCAGGATCAGGTATTTCTTGAGGAGGATTAACTGGTGGTGTAAAGTCTAATAACAGAGATCCTTCATTAACGACCTTACCATCTATAGTTATGGTAAATGTATTGTCTGGTCTCAAAACAAGTCGGTATAAATGAGGTAATTTATCAGAGAAGACATCATCAAAGCGTTCCCTAAAAACATAATTTATGAGACTAATATTTTTAGTAAAAAAAAATTATGATTTATCATTAACCATTGTAATCAAAACATGTTCAGCTATGACTTTAAATTAATAGTTCTTTCAAATAAAGAAGAATAATCATGATTCAAAATAGAATATATTGATAAAAAATCAAGTTAGAACTTGTCGGAAACAGGAAAATAAAAATTTGTTAATTTATAAGTTTGATCAAATCTAAATTCACATTCAAGATTAAGCATTGAATCATATTATCTGCATATATAAATTTATATGAGATTTGTATAAGTAGATATTGTAAGTACTCATTGTATGTATAGAAAAAAATTTCACAAACCTTGGTTTTTTGCAATGCTTTTCCTCAATTGATCCATTTAAAGGATTTGTATGTCTAAATATGAAATGAAATTTAGAGTCCACTCCACATTTATCAGGACCAAACATAATACTGTATGGAGTGTTATCACGAAACTCTCTAAGATTTGAAGTACCAGGTCCAGCTGATAATAATTTAATGTATGAACCTCCACATTCTTGACCATCCTGGAATATATTATGAGTTTAATATTTGTGTGTATGTATATAAATTTTAAATTTAGATAATTGAAAATTAATTTCAAATTGTCTGCACACCTGCATTGTGACTTCATATTGTACTATTAGAGGTTTGTCACTAAATACAAATGGTTTATCTAATTTTGCTGAAATGGCTGCATGTTTAGCCTTTGATTTCAAAACTAATCCCAAGTCTCCTTTCATGAGCTGTTTCTGTGGAGCTTCCACTTCCCAAACACCATCATATTTTGCTAATTCCTCATCTAAATCTCCTTCCTTCTTTGCTTCAGATCGAATCCATCGCTTATTAAAATTCTGAAGGTTATCAAAATGCTCAGCAAAAAAGAATTGCCCTGGTGCTGCAACTGGACTGTTGTATGGTATTCCTTCTATACCTACTTCAGAAACCTGAATTTAATCAAATAAAAATATGTAATGTTATATATGATAGTGAATAAACTAAATTATTAACTAATAAATGTATGTGTGTATCTGAATTAGAATACACTGAACGGAAAGACAGATCTTTCTGACAACTTTTTATATAACTTGAACTAAACTATAGAAAATAAATGCATTCAAAACCATTTTAAACAACAATGTATTTATATATTTATTTTAATAAACAGTAAGTAATATTTTATGTTACAAGCTATAAACTTTGATAAAACAAAATAAATCATCAAAAGTATTTATTTCAATTTTGTCAGTAATTATATTATGATTACTGTAAATCTAAATAAAATTTACAATTTAAATTAGGACTCATCTTCATCAAAATTGATTGTTGATGAGAATGTGCAATGTATTCCAGAAGACTTTACATTGATATTAGTACTATTGACACCTTTTTTGGATTATACTTTCTATTTTTTAGTTACTCAACATTTTTAATTTAAAAACTGTTTTACATTTGATAAAATTTTAATAAAGTGACCAGAAGATATTTCAAACCAACTTACAACTAATAATAGTATCTGAAATAATATTATCACAATGTTAAAAACGCTTAATTAAGGATATAAATATATTTTGATATGTTTAAAAATTGCAAAGCACTTGGATAAAAAAAAAAACTATATGATCTGTGCTTGTTTATTATTGATTTTGTAACAGAAAAACATCTGAAGATTTTGTGCGTTTTATTGCACTTTGGATACTTATGCGATTTTATTACTTTATTTCCAACTATAGTTACTACAAGCTCAGTCATGTACTTAGACTATGATTTTCACAAACCAGTAATATGTATTAAAACTGTAGTTCATGTTCTCTTTTTATATAAAAATTAAATTTATATAGATATTATACAAAAATTTAAACCTACAACACTGATGAGAAAACTGAAGGATCATTATTCTAGCATATTTTAATAAAGATAAGGACGAGAAGAGTAATATATTCACATTTATTTAATTATTAAATTTACATAAACAACTTAAATTATTGTAGGATACTAAGAATGAATATATACTTTACCACTTTTAGAAGTATTAATTTAATTAGAAGTGCTATGATGTGTCATTTTATGACAAAATCAATACTAAAGAAAGACATGTAATGTACAAAACTGATATTTTAAAAAAGTATATTGTATACTACAATTTCAAGGAGTCATACCTCAGCATTCCCATTTGACTCTTCTTCATCACATCTTATTGACCCTAGCACTAGTAAGGCACTTACGATCAGGGGCCACCGCTTCATCTAAAATAACATTTTTATATGCAGCTATTACACAAAACAAGCTCATGCTACAGAGTCGAGGTTACTATTAGAACGTATATTGATGTAATTTCCAATATGAATATTGTACAATAATAATATTAAGCCGAACATATTAGTTTCAATTAATTAAGGAATTAAATAATTCACAATACCTTCAACGCACTCGATCAAACCTCTATTATCAACTAACAGTGGTTATTACATATGATGGGTTGGCACATTCGTTTAACTTCCTAATACAATAAGTATTTAATTTGTTTTTATTCAAGTGTACACCATCCTTAGCGCAGCACATAGAAAATATATGTACAAAAAGATTAGACATTCAATACATTTTTAATAGTTCTCAACAGTTCGAATTGCCTTCTTCATGCTTATTTATCTCTGGGTAAGATGTCGTCGTAAAACTCGTAATTCAAATATCAAGCAAAATGCTCTTCTTTTATCTATGATCGTCACCATTTGTTTTGTGGGTTTGGTTTGTAGTGTTCTAGTGCGTTTCGTAATTTTATAAAACAAGTAAAATGAGTTACGGTCGACCACCACCCCGTATCGACGGGATGGTATCCTTGAAGGTGGATAATCTTACGTACAGAACTACACCAGAAGATTTGCGACGAGTGTTTGAGCGATGTGGGGAAGTTGGAGACATTTACATTCCGAGGGATCGATTTTCAAGAGAAAGTCGAGGATTTGCTTTCGTGAGGTAAATGTTACTCTGTGTAATGAATAATTCCAAACTCGTATTTACTTTTCAATATCGGAATTGTTTTGATTATTTTTGACACGTTTTGGCTTCTGTTTCTTAGATTCTATGATAAGCGCGATGCCGAAGATGCGCTTGATGCAATGGATGGGCGAATGTTAGACGGCAGGGAGTTAAGAGTTCAAATGGCAAGATACGGAAGACCAACCAGCCCTCAAAGGCGAGGTGTAGAGGAAGACGCAGGCAAGTATATAAAATTGATGATACCAAGTGGCTTGCTGAATAAATTTCATTCTGTTACAAATCACGTTTGATGCCATTTGATTTATTTATGTATATTCAATCCAGATCAAGATCGCGTTCGCGTAGGCGTTCACGTTCCCGCTCAAGATCCCGTCGCCGCAGCTATTCACGCAGCAAGTCTCGATCAAGGTCAAGATCAGATTCGAAGAGTAGCCGTGGAAAGCCAAGCAGGAGCCGCTCTCGTTCTCGTTCAAGAAGCAGGGACTAAAGGTTAATAGTCATATGTTATGATATAATATTTTTTTTGTTTTCTGTAAGATAAATATTTGAGGTTTAACATAACAATGAGCTGTTGAATATGATGTAGCTATTTCAGTATCAATTGATGCCAATTTCATCATTCTGTAATAATTTAAGATGGGTAATATTTCTTGTAACTTTCTGAATACTTATAAGCCTTTGTTTAAACATTCATTTTGAAAAATAAATGAAAGTGAATGTTATTGCCATCAACATTTATGCAGGTTACTCATTAGTTATTTATTGTTTATTAATATCATTACCTCTATGGGAAGAAGTAGGAATTATGAAAAGAACATGTATTTTGTAATTTAAAAATACATATTTGAAATATCAGTTGTCTTATAACAGATTTTAGACAATTTGTTGAAATGCTCATTAAGATTTATGTATTATATATTTTATTTCTTTCAGATGTAAAGTCCTGAAGGGATGGTAGGCATATTTTATCTGATAGAACTTCAATGCTTTGGCAAAAAATTAGCCATTGAAGCGGTGTTGAGATTGACTTATTGTGCGTGTTACTGTATCGTGGCTGTCATAAGCAAGGTACACTCGCACATTACATATACATATATAAATATATATCTATATTTGTATATGTATAATATGTTTTATCTTACTCATCCCTATGACCCTAATATTTAAATAAGTAATAGAAATAAGTTGTTTGATTTGTCACATTGAAATTTTTATGATTATGGTATATTAAAATATATTTCATTGGTAATAGTATCTTGATTTTCAAATTGTACTTTAAGATATTTTTCATAATTATGAAAAGAACATGTATTTTGTAATTTAAAAATACATTTTGAAATATCAGTTGTCTTATAACAGATTTTAGACAATTTGTTGAAATGCTCATTAGATTTATGTATTATATATTTTATTTCTTTCAGATTAAAGTCCTGAAGGGATGGTAGGCATATTTTATCTGATAGAACTTCAATATTTGGCAAAAAATTAGCCATTGAAGCGGTGTGAGATTGACTTATTGTGCGTGTTACTGTATCGTGGCTGTCATAAGCAAGGTACACTCGCACATTACATATACATATATAAATATATATCTATATTTGTATATGTATAATATGTTTTATCTTACTCATCCCTATGGACCCTAATATTTAATAAGTAATAGATAATTGTTTGATTTGTCACATTGAATTTTTATGATTATGGTATATTAAATATATTTCATTGGTAATAGTATCTTGATTTTCAAATTGTACTTTAAGATATTTTTCATATGTGCAAAATATGTTTAAGATAATTAAGTTTTAAGTGATTAAAAACTAAAAGTTAATTACCTTTTTCTAATATGTGGAAATTGATTTTTTTTTGTAAGTATCGACCTTTAATAATTAACTAGAATGACTTTATTATGAAATAGCTGTTATATTGTAATCCATAAATTAATGTAATCAATTTTAAATATATAATCTTATAAATATAATTTGTTAAATTGTATGTAATTATGGGTTAAATTTGTATGAAAACTACCACAATGTGTTACGAGAACAATTATTTTTCTTTGAGTTAAGAAATAACGTCTTTTTTCACTTCATGCACAGAATGCTGGTGCAGTTAAAAGTAGCAGCTCTAACAGCAGTAGAGAGATAATGGGGTTTACTGGTAGCGGTTCGGTGGTGTGTTAGCTGATTGTTTGGTGCTATGGTGTTTGGTAGCCGAAAGCCTGACAGAAATCAAATTAAAATGGCCTTTGTTCCGTCGTACATGCTGCATATTAGCTGTGCCAGCCACTTCGTCATTCCTGTTCTCTGGTATCTAAAACAGTACAAAACATTTTGTTTTTGACAATGCATTTAACGTTTCACTTTTTTAATTTTTTTATATAAATTCATTTTTTTTGGATTCAACAAATTTCTATAAATTCTTTTTTTTGATTCAACATAAATTTGAAATATTTTATAAATAATTGACCTTTACCCATTGCGCAGGCTGCTGTGGTGCAGTCTATCCAGAGAAAACAGGTCTCATACTTAAAGCAGTTGGCAGCTCAATTTTTTTTGAATTTACTATGTTCTGTAGAAGTTTTTTAATTTACGGTTAGCATATTTGGGATTTTCTGAAAATTTGTTTGCGTGCCATGCATAAATTTTAACTTCTTTTGACTTCGACCTTTTAGATTATTTTAACTGATCAGTGCATCTCTTGAAAGATGAAAGTAATGAGGTGGGAATCTATATTGAATTAACTTATTACAATCATATCAAGTTTGTTTTCATGTTTAATTTCATTGGTTAATTTGTACAAATTTTTAGCATTTCAAAACATGGTAAGTATTTTCAAAGTACTTGGAGTTTATTTCTGCATAATAAAGGTCTTTAAAAAAAGAATCAACATTGTTTTAATTATAAATTGAACTGAACATTTATTATATTTTTGTTATTGTGTTGCTTTTATACATTTAAATTCTAAAAGACTATAAAATTCTGATTAACTTGAAATTTTGCAGTTTCGTTGATCAGAAAAGAAATGTTGGGTAAAAATAATAGGATTATCATTGAACTTATATGGAAGTTATTGATATTTGTAACTTTTATTTTCACAGTTTTATCAAGATTCCATTAATTTCCAGCATTCAAATGTGTTCTAAGCTTTAGCAAGAAATTTTTTTCAATATCAAATCAATATTCTTTTATGTATGATTCAATTTATTTCCTTTAACATCAGATGAAGAATCCGATTTTCACCAGAAAATCGGATTACTAATTTTTTTTATAATGTATTTTTAAGATAGTGTATATATAAGTATATTTTTCGACAAAAATTCTTGGCTGTGATAACTATAATGATGATTTATGTGAATGATATACTTTTTCGAGGACATAGTTTGTTTGCTATAAGTGCGGATTCAGAATTTCAGACCCTTCAATGTGACAAATGAAATGATGCATGGCCTTGGATCTATATACAAAGATAAGTCTAGATTCTAATGATAGATTTAATAGATTTTAATTTTAGTAGCATATTTACCACTTTCCACTCGCAAATTCCGAGGTTTATATGAATTTTGCCGCCGAAGCATAAGTTTAGGACATGATGTAATTATGTGTAAAAACTGTATGTTTTTACAAGCTGAGAACATCATACCATCCATATATCATATATCATGATAATTGCAATTGTTTCTATATTTGTTTTTTAGGCTTTGTTTTTTAATAATCGCTATAGTAAGTAAATTAGTTATATTAATGCGTATCCATTACGAAATAAATAAATTTCGTAATGGATATCTTCACATGGTTCATTAATATATTAATGAACCATGTGAAGACATTATTATAGCAATTGGTACCGATACTATCGATTAATTTAACCATTTTAATTGCGGTATGTTTTATAATTAGTTGTTAACTGTCATTAGATTTAATCTGGTTATTTGTTTATTTGGAATTTTGTGTTTTCACGTTTTTTAATTACGTAATGAATTCTTATTAATTATTCGTAAGTAATTACTTAAGTATAAAGCTCGTCAAATTGCCTTCGTAAATCGAATTGTGTATGTCGGTATGATTATTATAATAATCATCAATCAAAAACTATAATTTTTTATTATATTATTGTTGATAATGATTTTGAAATGATGAAATACTTTCTTTATGCAGCTTTATGCTCTTTTTTAACTTCCCGTAGGGCAAGTTACAGTAATCGCAACAAAATTGAAAATGAAAATTTTTATATATCTTTACGTAAAGATATATAAAAATTTTCATTTTCGATTTTTTTGCGATTACTATGTATCCAAACACACACATACCTTAGAAAAAATAGACGTATGTGTGTGTGTTTGGATACAAATTTTCGTCGACGATTTTGGGAACACGGATGAAGCGATTTGAATAATTCATAAACATTCGATTCGTATTGATAGGGAGACGTGCTGATTAGTTTTTGGTGAAGGCAGGTCTAGCCGTTCCGAAGATATGAGGCAAAAAGTGCCAAAAACGGTATCTCAGTTTTTAAGAGAACGAAACGAAGCGTCCGATTTGAATAATTCGCAAAGCATTTTACAAGATGAAGAACTGATCAAATTTTCATGAAGGTAGGCTTAGCGGTTTTCGGAGATCTAGTAAAAAAACTGGCATCTGGCGGTCAAAAATGATCATTAGACATATGCACATCAAATTATCAGATATTTTATGGAGATTTTAATCATGTGTATCAATTTTTGAAGGCAGGTCTAGCTGTTCCGAAGATACGGGGCAGAAAGTGCCAAAAACGGTAACTCAGTTTTTAAGAGAACGGAGCGTCCGATTTTAATAATTCAAAAAACATTTTACTTGTATTGACAAGATGAGGAACTGATTAAATTTTTGGGAAGGCAGATCCAGCGGTTATGGACTCTCAATGAAAATAAGTTAAAAAAATGTCATTTGGCGGTGAAAAATGTTTATTGGACATATGCACATCAAATAATCACATATTTTATATAGATTTTAATAATGTGCACACATTATGTGTAATTTTTTTTGGGTTCCGCACCAAGATTTTTAATTGCGGTACATGAAGTTCTAGCAATTTGCCTTAAGGCACGATGCCATGCGCTTCACTATAGTGAATAATAACTATAGTTATGCTGGATTCTATTGTATTGCTAAAAACATAAGTTTAAAAACAGTTTGTTACAAAAAATGAGATTTGTTAAAGATTCACAAAAATTGAATAATAATCTAAAATTTTGGAAAATGTTTTTAAATTTATACAAACTTATGTGATTTCAGAAATATATAAAGATTTTATTTAGTAAGTCGATATACTAATTTCAATAGTTTCTTATATGAAAATGAAAGGAGTGTTGTAGCCGACGTGTTCGCTTCGATTACCTCCACCACTATTCTAAAAGCACTTTTACTGCGCCAATTCTTGATGTAGGGCACACTGTTGTTAACAATCGGCCAAGAAACTCATATTATTGTGCCAATACTCTTATTTTGGCTATAAATGGAAATCGTTGTTCCACAAAACTGACTTTACTTATGCATGCCCATTGGTATATATAGTTGTATTCTTCGTACATATGCACACACACTCACTATACATATACATAAAACCATATGTATATATACATATTTACGTTATATATATATATATATATATATATATATATAAACACTTCATTTTTCAGTAATCGAAATAAATTCATTACTGTTGTATAATAAAATCACATTTTTCCTTTTCAAATATAAAACAAACCAAAAATTGTGGCAAAACGGAGTTCGTCGGGTTTGCTAGTATATATATATATATATATATATATATAATACGTAAATAGGTATATAATATATATATATACTAGCAAACCCGACGAACTCCGTTTTGCCACAATTTTTGGTTTGTTTTATATTTGAAAAGGAAAAATGTGATTTTATTATACAACAGTAATGAATTTATTTCGATTACAAAAATGAAGTGTTTTTTTAGTTGAACTTCTCTAAGTAAATTAAAGTGAATCCGCAAATTATCCTTTTTATTGAAGTGCTCTTTGGTAAACCACATTTTTTGTTTTTTGGTCTGACGTTAACACAAACAAAGCGGATGGATTTCCAACTCGTGAACAGGCAACGTATAACTGCCCATGTGAAAAACAATGATTTTCTAAATAATCTATTTGAAATGTATCCCGCAAACACTAAGCGATTGGCCTTGCGACTTGTTATTGCAAACGCAAGGCGAACTGGAAATTGCAAGTCAAACGGAAGACCAGTCGGAATCATTGGTATGTCACCAAATCGCCAGAAATTTTTGATTGAATGGTGAAATTCAGTGCGTGTACATCATTATTCTTTGCGGCAAGAATTGCTCGTTGACTTAACCAAGCATAATTCTGATAATTCTCACTAATGTAATTACTCGAATTTTTAATTACGGTGCGTGAAGTTCCAGTAGCTTGCATTAAGGCACGATGCCATGCACCACTAATTTTCAAGACCTTTCCAACGAATGCAAAATTGTCGAAATTGGTTTGTGCGTTCTGGAGTTATATCGTCAGGAAGGAAAACCCGACTTATATATATATATATATATATATATATATATATGTAGATAATTTATTTGAAATTATTATAAACAATTGTTGATTGGTGCGTGAAGTTCTACCAATTTGCATTAGGGCACGATGCCATGCACCACTAATTTTCTTAGTTTTAAACCTTGCGAAGACCGAGACCTTTCCAACGAATGCAAAATTGACGAAATCGGTTCGTGCGTTCTCGAGTTATTTTGTCAGGGAGGAAAACCCGACTTATTTTTATATATATATAGAAGATATATATATATATATATATATATAACGTAAATATGTATATATATATATATATATGTATATATATATATATATATATATATATATAATATGTATATATATATAATATAAATGTGGTGTGCAGTTCATATGTAAGAAGAATACAACTATATATACCAATGGTCATATATATATATGTATATATATATATATATATATATATATATCAATAGATAAGTCCTGGATTTTTTCAATATATTGAAACAATCAATCAAACAAACAATCAATATATATATATATATATATATATGATAAATGCCTGTATAAAAATATCATTAGGACAACATTTGAGTAGCAAAATCAACAAGTTTTGAAATTTTTAACTTCCCGTGTGGTAAGTTATTATAGTAATCGCAAAAAATTGAAAATTAAAATTTTTATATATCTTTACATTTCAGAGGTTTCTAACCATTTTGGCATGCCTTACAAATAATTGATGTATGCGTGTGTCTGTATGTAAGTCGACGATTTCGAGTACACGAATCAACCTTTTCAAATGATTAAAAAAAACATTCGATTCCTATTGATAAGGAGACGTGCTGATTAATTTTTTGGCAAAGGCAGGTGTAGCCGTTTGGAAGATATGTGGCAAAAAGTGCCAAAAATGGAAATTCAATTTTTGAGAGAACTGAGCGTCGGATTTTAATCATTCAATTTTACTTGTATTGCCAAAATGAAGAAAATTAGACGCATGCACATTAAATTATCAAATATTTTATAGAGATTTTAATAATAAGTTGATATTTTGTTAACATTTCTATGGGTTCCGCACCAATTACTTTAAAAAAAAGTTCAAAATTGTCAAACATCTCAAAAATCGAGTTTTTTTTAAATTTTAGGCACGATGCACCACCAGTTACATCTGGTTCTTGTAAGGGTACTCTTTAATCGCTGAATGATAGAAAGATTGAGAATCTTACACCTAATTGATTAAATCTGTCGTTTCAGTTTCGCATTCGAGTTGCTCGTGCTCAGACGTTCACCTGTGCTGTTCGGAAACATACTCTTGTCTTGCGTTCTTATTAACACTGGAGAAACTTCTTGATGAGTCTAACAATATTACTGTTAGATATTTTACAAAATTTATCTAGCCTAAATTCAAATTTATAGTAATCGTGCATGATTTCCATAAATATTGAACTTGTGTCTTGTGCTTGGTGTTTTAGAAATATATTTAAATGCTAAAGTGTATTGGTTTGTGATTATTGTTTTTTCAGTGATTAGGAATTTCAATTTTTAAGGTGAGTAAGTTATAACTATCTACTTTACTGTTTATATTTTTGTGTGTTATGTTACAATTCATATTATATGTGCATACAAATATTTATGTTTATACATATGTTATGGTCGTTACTGTTCCGCCAAGAATACAATTTTAATCAAACTTAGAAAGTTTTACGTTTTCCAATACACTTACGGAGATCCATATGATTCTTGTATACATTTTATATAGTTAATTAACGTATTGCATTATTGAATTACGAAGTACTACGAAGAGCTGTTGTATCCATGCTTTGTTTTTAAGAAAAATCGCATGCTAAAGTTTTTCAATATCTATCGTAATGAAATATAGTAATTCGCATAAGATAGGTATATATAAATTAATAACATTATTGTAAACTATGAACAAAGAAATAACAGAAATACAATTCTTTTAATACGTAAACATCAATATATCTATCGTTATACAAGTATTAAATGCAATTGATGTATAAAAAACTTTATTCGAATATTAACAATATTTTTTAAATTTTAGTTGCATTTTATTATTACATGTGTATATAATAATATGTTCGGTGCGTACATGTGCATATACATATACAAATACATATGTAAATATTTATATATATATATATATATATATATATATATTTGAATAAATATTTTGTATGTGAAATCAAGCCGGAACATATTTTTGTGACCCGGAAACTTTGCTGTTCTATACAATCAATCCATTATAATGAGAAAATAAGAAACTGTTAGAAATGCAATGGAAAGTACATACGTATGAGAATATTATTCTACTCACACTTGTCAGTAACTAATAATAACAATCCACACAAATGAATGTTTTCAATGTATTTTATACATATAAACAGGGCCGGATTTAGAAATTTGGCGCCCTGGGGCACTGACAAAAATGCCGCTCTTCCTGAAATTTTACTTAAATAGTTTTTATTTCTCATTTTTCTGAAATTAAAATAACTATTTTATTGTAGAAAATATATTACACATTACATACAACAATAATATAACAAAAATTCATTGCGTTAAAGACTTTCTTCACAGGCACATTATATAAACTTCCAGTAGGGAAAGTTATAGTATTAGCAAAAAATGGAAAATGAAATATTTTGTATATCTTTAAGTTTCAAAGGTATTTGAACATTCTGGCGCACTTTAAAAAATGTTCAGATCTTCGACGACTTCGGCAACTCACGGTTCAACCTATCTGAATAATTCAAAAGACATGATTCTTATTGATAAGTAGTCTAGCTATTTCAAAGATACGGGAAAAAAGGTTCGTAATGCATTCAAATTAACGGTGCAAAATTTGAAATAAAAATAATGAATTTTAATAATCGGTTACTTGAATCCAAATTTTGCGTATCATTCGTATTATGTTTCGTTGATTATATTTCTTGACAAAAAAATTAAGAAGAATAAGTTTATTATATTGTGTAGATTTTTTTCTCATTTTCCAAATTTTGCACATAAAATCAATAATAATAATAAACTAATCTAAAAACACTTACATTTTGGTATCCTCGTGTATCACTTGCAATTTTGGTACCAAATTGTAGGTGTTTTTAGATTAGTTTATTATTTATTATTTTTATTCTTAAACTATAACAAATGATTTACTTGGTTTAATTATTATATTTGACTGTCAAAATCCATTTTAGAGATATGGTTTCTTCGGCAAAGTATCTTATTTCGATCCTTAGTATACGAAAATCACTTGTACCTATGCGACTTTTTTTACCCATATAAATCGACCCACCCTAATATATTGTATATTCATATATATATATATATATATATATATATATATATATATATAATTATTTGATCTTGCAATTTGATTTTTTTACTGGTCAGCTTTATGTTTGATTCAATTATTATTTAATAAGTTAAGGAAGTTTTTTTGTGATCGGCTATACTAATTGTAAGTAAAACTCAAGTAACATAATATTATATGTAGGACACCGTTGGAATGTTTCCAAGGTAAACAGCAACTGAATGCAGGACAGTATGGCATACGTACATTAGAAAATATTATTATATTATTTTCAACTATCTCTAAGATTTTCACAAGATTTAATATAACATAATTTTTAGATCATTAAGATCTTACATTTTTAAATCATTAAGATTTATAAAATTTAAATACGATTATATTGGTGTTACATTTAGACTGAATAAATATATCCATGTATCCAAAATTTTTAAAAATTTAGATTTTAGACATGCTAAATTTGTCTGTAATTCAGTCACGTGTTTGATGCTCGAATCAGAAGATTTCTCTTATTATGTTTGTTGTGAGACAATTGCAATATACTTAACAAATATGTATTGTTTCACTGGAACAACCTGCAATTCTTTTGATTATGTATTCAGAAATTTTCACCAGTGAACATAGTAGATTAATAGAATTAGAATTAGTATTACAACATTTCAACAATAGATTTTATGGAATTATTACTATAACAGCTTAACTAATAACGATTTTCTTACTATGAACTGATCCATATTCAATATGTGATAGAATTATCTCACTTCATACAAAGCAACTACAACATAAAATAGTCATTAAAAATTAGTTATCCTAAATTTAAATTTATTTAACATAAATTATACATTTGTCTCTTATTTTTATAGTTTAAAAAAGTCATTTACTTTATTTTGTTAACTTCCCGTAGGGTAAGTTATAGTAATCGCAAAAAAATCGAAAATGAAAATTTTTATATATCTTTACGTTTCAGAGGTTTCTGAATATTTTGGCATACCTTAGAAAAAATTGATGTATGTGTGTGTATGTGTGTTCGGATACAAATTTTCGTCAACGATTTCGGGAACACGAATGAAGCGATTTGAATAATTCAAAAAACATTCGATTCGTATTCATAAGGGGTCATGCTGAGTAGTTTTTGACGAAGGCAAGTCTAGCTGTTCCGAAGATATGGGGCAAAAAGTGCCGAAAACGGTAACACTTTTTAAGAGAACGGAGTGTCCGATTTGAATAATTTAAAAAACATTTTACTTGTATTAACAAGATGAAGAACTGATCAAATTTTTATGAAGACAGGTCTAGCGGTTTCGGAGATCTAGTAAAAAAGTAAAAAAATGCCATCTAGCGGTCAAAAACAATCACTAGACATATGCACATCAAATTATCAGATATTTTAAATATATCTGATAATAAGTATAAATTTTGTTTACATTCCTATGGGTTCCGTACCAAGGCTTATCCGTTAGACGGCGGCGAAGCGCTTACGCGCTTCGATATTTCGTCTCCATGCAGTTAAAGCAGTACGATTGCTTTGAAAAAAAGTTCAGAATTTACAAAATATTTCAAAATACACTTTTCTTCAAAAAGTCTTTTTTTCAAAAAAAGTAAATTTTTGTCAAGAATTTATAGTTTCTCAAAAATCTAATTTTTCAGAGTAATTTTTTTTCTAAAATGTTAGGCTTTAAAAATAAAAAATTGGTTCGGGAAGTTCCAGCCTTAAGGCACGATGCCATGCGCCCCACTAGTTAGTTTTAAATTTTTAATTCAATTTCAAATTTACATAAAATTTTCAATATGTACGTTGCGATTAATTTTTAACTTTAAAACTATCAGTATCATATAAGTTCAAATATTAGTTATCAATAGATGGATTAATATAGTTTTCAACAGTACATATTGTTATTAGTTTGGACTGATTTATGTTGATATATTATATTGACTTTCTAATTATTGATACTGAAATTAGAAATTGTACATTTGTATTTAAAAGTTTTACATGTAATTATACACTATATGTATGTTTTTAAATACACTTATACTTAATCGAAATAGTTGATTATAATAAAATCAAAATTTAAATCTACATAATTAATTACCATTTCTTTAAAAACTAGTTATTGCATTATATTATTTATTAACATTGTTTAAATTTCGACTGTGACTTATGTGTTTCTACTAAATTGTTTCTTTTTAATTATCTCTGATGTGTATACGAATAATATAAATAATTTTACTACTACTTTTGTTATCATAATATTATATATAACATGTATCATAGATTCCCATTTATTTATTTTTTTATTGTTTTTTCCATTTCTGCTTATAATCTCTAGACTTGAACTTCAGTAATTAATGAAAAAACGCATGCATATAAAAAATATAACATGAAGAATTTATCTTTAATTGGCGCGCTAAATGATTTATTTTTCATCTTAAATTTTTAATAATGAATCCCATGAAAAAATTAGAAAATCCAATTTTCATGGATTTCATTAACTCAACACAAAAAATACAAATTCTAGTGAAATCACAGAGATCTAGAATAGAATATTTATATTCTCTTTATTGAATTACAATCTGTCTTTACAAAAAGGAAGACATTCAGTAATTTTGATGATAGCATAGAATATGCCTTACTAAAATAATATACTTTTGAATTATACATACTTATTCAGAGTTCCTATCCATTACAAATCATACAATAATAAGTCTAAAAAAATGTCTAGCAGATTATTACTGCATTAATCACATTTATTATAATATATTATTTTATATTTCATCAGGCAAGTACCAATAAGAGGTACCATATTTTTTTTAGCAATATAAGCAGATTGTTTAATTATATGTAATAATATTTAGTATTGAGTTTATGTTATTAAAATTCTGCAAAAATTGTATTTTAAAATACATAATACATAATTATTTTTTCAATATTTTAAATATATATATAGATATTGTCATAACATTTATTTTTTTCTTGATAGGTAGAAGAGGACTAATTTCCTAAATGTCATCAAAATGTCACAGGATTATGACGCTATTGACGAAGTGAAACCAGACAGGCAAGAACATCAAGAAAATGAAGTTAAAACTGAAAACAATGACCATTCATTAAGGTTGTAAACTATATCAGGAAAACAAGCTTCATGATATTTTAGAAATATTATAATCATTACTTTACATCTATATATGCAAATACATATATAGATATGTTTTATATAATCTCGTGCCTATATGAAATAAACTCTGGATCTATTTATCGATCAAAATTTGATTGCTCTCTGAAAAGTGTTCTACCTTAAATAATCGCGTTGTTTGATCATCCTTTTTTTAATAATCACAATTATGTATCATTTTTACATTTAAACATGTTAATGTGCTGTAATCGAACTGTATATTGTTAGGACCACAAATACCTTCCTTTTCTTCTTCCTTTTCTCTCTCTCTCTCTCTCTCTATATATATATATATATATATATATATATATATTACTTTATTTCGATTTTTTTAACATTTTATTTCAAATATTTATAATCTTAGCTAATGGGGTTGTGACATGATAAAGAAAAATGTAAACCATTATAATTTTAAAATTATATTTAGCGCTCTAAAGTATTGCATTAAGTATAATAATTTATATTTAAATAATTTTTATGCAATGTATTTTAACAGAGATTCTTCAATTGAAATGGACAGCAATCAGAATCATCTATCTTCAGAACAAATGAAGCCTGATCTGGATTTACATTTAGTGCAGAGTACCAGCATCATTTCAGATGATCAACCACAGTAAGTTTATCAACAAAAATTATATCTTCGCACACACACATATATGCATCTTGTATTAAATGTACACACAACGTTTTGAACCAGGAATATTACGAACATGAAATTCAAAATATAAAAATATTTTTTCAATTCGTGTTATTTACAATTATTCGCGTGCGAGAGTTTTATAAAAAATCGTTTTCGTTGGTTTTGGCCTGTTTTTTCCTAATTTCCTGTATTTACATATTTGCATGGATATATACATTTAGAAATTAATGATTTTCAGTTCTCATGTAAGTGGATTGGAGTTCTTCGAATCTATTCGGAAAGAAGAAAAGAACAGAAAAAAGGAAAAATTATATAAAATGAAAGAAAAAACAAAGTACAAAGGACCTGATGCAACTATGTAAGTGTATAGGAAACTATTATCTTCTTGTTCGAAATTTAACCCTCCGTCGGTCGGCGTGGTCTGGCCAGACTTTTTTCGACTTCAATTAAAAAAAATACTTCTATATAGTAATCCTATCGACTTGAAATTTCTCGACTTCTAAAATTTCATTAGCTGTCGATCAATGAAAAAGTCAGGACGAAAAAATGTACAGTAGGATCATTATAAGGATATTATCTTTTTTATACTTCGAACGGTCGGAGTGGTCTGTATAGACCACCCATACATTTTGTATGAAATATGCGCTTTTTGATATATATATCAAAAAGCGCATATTTCATACAAAATGTATGGGTGGTCTATACAGACCACTCAAGACTAAATACTGGTTTACATATATGTAAACCAGTATTTAGTCTTTTTTCTGATATTTTCTATTCAAACTGCATTTATATATTCTTTGCTATGTGTTGTAACATGAATGTTAGTATTTTTACGACGAGAGTTCCTTGAAAATATCCAACCGACGGAGGGTTAAAATGTTGGCTTTTTACCAAGTAAAGGTTTTCATACTATACTAAAGTGATATTTTATAACTTGTACGAGAAAATCAATTTCAATTTTAATTTATTTTCTTTAAAATCGTCAAATAAGTGGTTTTCATTAACCAAAACTTTAGATTTTTTTCATTGCTATTAAAAACCAAAATAAAAACATAAAATATATTTTTTTTAAATTTTCTTTATGATTCTTATTTTAAATTACTTTATCAAAATAACTTATTTATATATCTGTCAAGCATAAAATATTTATCTCTATATTTCTATTAGTATATTTAACCCGATTTATTTTATTGTCACTTTCAGAAAAGTTCCCGGATCATTCTATGACCGAACATGTTCGCAACTTGGTTTAGTAATGTTGTGCCTATCGCTAATTCTTATATTTTTGGGTGGCTACGCCCTAGCTAAAGGGGCTTCCTTGGCTTGCCTAGGAGCTGGCTTATGGGCTGGTGCCGCTGCCGCCGTTTGTGGCGGTATTGCTTCTCTGTGGACAGCGCCCGCTAATACTCAGGGTTGTATAATATCCAGTGTACCAGCTGCATTGCCAGTGAAGGGCATTAGTAGCAGTGCCAGTGAGGCCAACCTGGCTAACACCTTGCCTCATCAGCTCCCAAATATCTCCGGTGGATATGCGTTACCTTATGGCGTTGCCAGTTCAACGGGGATAGGAAGAGCAATGGCAGCACTTCTAGTATCTTCACTTATCTCTCTTGCCATGTCTATATTGGCCTTAGCACTTACAGGAATCGGAGTTTTGAGGGATGCCCATCGACTTGCCACAGGAACGGTTAGTGCCGATTTTAATTATAATTTTGTTTCTGATTTGGTTTAGTTGTTGAAATATTATGTAGTTTTAGCAAAAGTTAGTCAATATATGAATAGAATTTTAACCACTTTACATTTTTTTTTTTTTTTTAAATTTCAATAATTATTACAACTGCTAAATTATAACATCAAGTAATATTGATAAATAATAATATAAATTTAAATAAATAAAAGTGCAAAGGATATAATTTGCATGAAAATAATATCCGTAATATGATTTGATATAAAATATAAGCAAATAATAATAAAAATAAAATTAATAAATAATACAAATCAAATTTCTGAACGATAAAATAATACTAGAAAAATAATAAAATATAACAAATTAACACTAATAGAAATAGTAAGATAATAATAATAATAATAATAATAATAATAATAATAATAATAATAATAATTTACAAATTTATGAGATCGTTTGGAATTTTTCGTTTTAGCCTTGTTGGGCGCGCTTCTGAGTATACTTTGTGTGCCAAGTAATTTGGGTGTTCGTCTATTCTTTTTTTGTAGTTGCTTGTTTTTTGTTGAATTTCTTCATTTACTGTCAATAAGGTGCTGTCCTGGTGAATCAACCAGTTGGGAACGTACCTAGGTGCGTTCAGTGCCTGCCTTATGATCTTGTTCTGCACTCGCTGGATAATCTGTAGATTGTTTTTTTTGGCGGTGCCCCATAGTTGAATCCCATAATACCACACTGGTTTAAAAATACATTTATAAATAATTAGTTTGTTATTCGTCGATAGTTCGGAACATTTATTTAGTAGCCAGTAATGTTTTTTGAATAGATCATCAATCTGCTGTTTTTTCTTGTTAATGTGAACTCTCCTTCAATTTTGTGTCTAGGTATATTCCGAGATATTTTACGCTATCTTTTACTGGGATTTCCTGTCCATTTAACTTAATTGAACCACTTTATATATAATTGCCTTATATTATGCAAAGTTTTAAATATACATATTATTAAAATTTTTGTCGATTAAATTTAAAAATGTTTGAAGAATACTTGGTATTAAGCTTCAGTTCACATAAAAAAATTGAAAATGTGAATGTCATTGAAATGAGATATGGAAGTGCCGAATAAGTCTTGAAATGCAAACGCATAAAAATTTAATTGTACCAAATGTTGTAAGGCGCCGGAATGCAAATTCCATTATAATTTTGTGTTTGGTTTTATATTGCCACGTTACTTTTAAGTAAATATTCTCAATTTGTATAAATTTTTAATTTCTAATATTAACAAAAGATGTAATCCATAAAATAATTAAGAAATAATATTATTAAAGATATAATAAATAAGTATATAATTGAAACGTACTTTATTATTCCTATATGTAAGGAATTATATTAATTATAATTAGCTTTATTTATTCAAACAGACGACCGAAGCTGTAATATGGGTTGGAAGCGTGTTAGTTTTTTGCTTAGTTCTGGATTGTGGATGTTGTCTACGTGCAGTATACCATGCCGCATTAACACTTAGGATAAGGAAATGTCAAGAAAAACAACGACTCAAAGATCTTGCTGGAGAACGGGGCCTTTATGCACAGGTATTTAGATGTAAAGTAAAAACTAGAAAGCAATCTTAAGGGGTTACATGGTTAAAAAATCGAAAAGATATTTTTTATCTTATTAAATTCTATAACATCTCTAGAATATTGTCCTAATTTTTCAAGTTGATCCGACAAATAGTTTCGGAGATACAGCCTTGAAAAGGTGGACGCTTGAGGTCGGGTATAGACTCTCTTAAAACTTTAAACGCGTTTTTCTCAAAACTATGTTTTCAAAAACGGTTGTCAAGATTTTTCGCGAACTACTCAACCGATCTTGATGAAGTTTTACACAGGTCTTCGAGATATCATTTACAAGGTCTTCAACGAATCTTCTACTATCACACCAAGCACCTCTAAGATAATTGGAACATCAAAAACCATTTTATAATTGAATGAATAATTTATTAGTGTATTTTTATTTCTATAAACTTTTAAATTTTTAAATTTTTATTTCTATAAATTATTATTATTATTATTAATTATAATTATAATTATAATAATATAAAAAATAATAATTATTATTATTAATCGAAAATAGAAAACCAATTTGAAAATGAAACACCTTAAAAGTATTAAGATTTAAAAATGTTTTGTTTTTATGAACTTTCATATTTTAGTATCGCTAATAAAATATTGTTCTATTTAAAATGTGCATATGTTCAATAAAAATTTTATGATTCGTTTTGAATAAGGAAACGGTGTTAAATTATTATATCACAGATCCTTTATTCACTCTATTATAACGGCCCATAGTAATCTTGCAATCAACTTTTAACTTTTTTTTCGTGTTTTACATTGATTTGAATTAGGGCATCTAACTGGATGTTTAAACTTCGACTTAAGACTAATATAACACAACATGAGAATTCCGGGTTCTCATAGTATGTCAAGCTTCTTTTCGTTAATATTTATATATAAACAAAGATGTCTAAGAAATGTGTGTATGATTAAGCTAATGTAAAGTTTTATTGTTTTGTAGCAGCAGGCATGGCTATCGTGCCCTTTAACGCCTTCAACTGTGGCTGCATCAGTAATAGGGCAGCAGTTTCACCAACAGCTTTGTCCATCTAAGTTGCCAAAGCATGGCAGTACTCTGGCCAACCGCGCCGGCTTGGTTCGCATGTGGCTCGGTAAGCAAAGCGAATCGCACGCGATTCCTATACAGAGCCCTATTCCCAGTTTGGCATCGCCGCATGTTATTATGCCGCAGGTAAAAAAAATTTATATAAATTTTTTAAATATATTTATATTTCATTTTTTATTCGCTGCGTTTGCATTGCATTTTATATTAAATATTCGAACTTAGTATACTAAGCAATTGTGTTATAGAACTTTTTAAATTTATTTTTTCTATTAAATTACAAGATTAAAAGATTGTAGTGTACGACTGGATTGCATGTAAAACGTAAAAATATTTTAATCTCTCAACTTTTTGAGTAATGATTTTTATAGAAAAACTGAAATTTTATGAAATGTATTTTTACATAAATGAAATATGATAGATTTTTTTCCATGACTTTGATGGTTTAATATACGAGTTTCTGATAGATACGATTTAAAATTCCAGTTTAAAAGGGAAATATTTATGATGTTTGCATTCATCATACGATATAAATCTTGCATTCTGATTGAGACCATCCATTTTTATTATGTCTTCGCCAGTGAGTGTAAAATCAAAAATTTGTATATTTTCCAAAATCCTACTTGGAGTCACAGACTTTGGAATAGGAACACAGCCAATTTCCACCTAAAATTATTACAATAAATATAAGTTGAGTACATTTCAATAGAAGCGAATCTATAAAATATATGTCATTGCATCAAGTCTGTATGAATATGTCATCGTTTAAATAAATCGGTTTACGCAAATTATATCGTGGAACTTTGAGGTATAGAAAATCTATATAGCTATGGCTGTTTGGGTTATTTTTGAGGGCATTAGAAAAATCATATTTTGCATTCTTATATATATATTATATATATATGTATATATATATATATATATATATATGTATATATATATATATATATATATATATATATATATATTAACAAAGTCTAATAATCGGGCATAACATCATAAAAAACATGAATTTCTTTTCAAAATTTTTTTAAATCCATACGTTTCGGCTATAATCCTAGCCTTCATTCAGTGGAAACTAAAAATAAATTAAAAACTAAAACAATTGAATTGGAGTGAAAAGAAAAAAATAAAATAGTAATTAGTACTTACAATTAGTTGATCTTAGTGTTAATTGGAAAATTTTAATAATCCATGGTATTAGGATATGGTAATGCACTACACTATGTATTATAAACATTACTTGAAATTACACAATTTTTCACAAAATACTGATTTGAAAAAATCACAAATGAATAGTGTGTTATTCGTAGACTGGTTGAAGATGTAATGAGAGAAGTCATTTTTTAAAAATATTTTTACCAAGATTCTGCACATGTGTGGAACGAATTGTAAAACCTTTGCGCGAACGCTTTTATTGTTTTGTAAGAATTTGGAAATGTTATCTAAATAGAAGAGATGAGTTCATTCCGTTTATTTATTGTCTTATTGTTATAAATAGTTAAAAAAGATCCCTCTATAATTCTTCGTTTAAATAAATTTTGTTCAAATTGTAGTATAGTCGGATTAGAAAAGTCCATATTGTGTTTTAAAGTGTATATATGGTCTGCAAGAACAGTTTTGAATTGTTTGGGGTTTTTTGAATTGTTTTTATGTTGTTGTAACCGTTTATGAAAAGAAAAAAATAAAATAGTAATTAGTACTTACAATTAGTTGATCTTAGTGTTAATTGGAAAATTTTATAATCCATGGTATTAGGATATGGTAATGCACTACACTATGTATTATAAACATAACTTGAAATTACACAATATTTTCACAAAATACTGATTTGAAAACATCACAAATGAATAGTGTGTTATTCGTAGACTGGTTGAAGATGTAATGGAGAAAGTCATTTTTAAAAACTATTTTTTACCAAGATTCTGCACATTTGTGGAACGAATTGTAAAACCTTTGCGCGAACGCTTTTATTGTTTTGTTAGAATTTGGAAATGTTATCTAAATAGAAGAGATTTGTGTCGCACAGCGTGTTGAGTTCATTCCGTTTATTTATTGTCTTATTGTTATAAATAGTTAAAAAAGATCCCTCTATAATTCTTCGTTTAAATAAATTTTGTTCAAATTGTAGTATAGTCGGATTAGAAAAGTCCATATTGTGTTTTAAAGTGTATATATGGTCTGCAAGAACAGTTTGAATTGTTTGGGTGTTTTTTTGAATTGTTTTTATGTTGTTGTAACCGTTTATTGAGGTTCTGGCTAGTTTCTCCTATGTAAATTAAATTACAGTCTAAACAATTTAATTTGATAGACGAGATTTCTGAGTCGTTCGATATTAAATGGGGTTTTTTGTTTTTGTAAAAATAGTGCTAGTAGTTGTACTAAAAATTGGTTACAAGTCGAAGTCCAGATTTATAAAAAAGTTTTTTCCAAGGAACATACAATTCTTTAATGTATGGCAAACATATTATTACACCAGAATGAGTTTCTGAGTCAGGTAAATCGTTATGTACTGTGCAATTGTCCATTTTATTCAAAAGGTACGTTCGTCTGTTACTAGTTACGGAATTTATAAGTTTTAGGGATAAGAGTTATCTGTTAAATTTTTGTAATTAATTGATGTTGTTGTCCCAAAATGTTTTGTCCGATAGAAGTATTGCGTGGTCCGTTAGATTTATTATAGTACCTATTTTCATTTTGAGTGGATGATAAGAAAAGTAATTAAGGTAGCGTCCGGAATTAGTTGGTTTTTGATACCAATTTGTTATTAGTTTGTTATCTGTAGTACGTATAAGTTTTATGTCTAAGAAACTTATCGAGTTCATTGTCTCCAATTCCACTGTAAATTTTAATTTTTGTTGACGTTATTAAATTTATTCACTTGTATCCCTAGTGAGGATCACTATGATACTTTATCAATTTAATAACGTCAACAAAAAATTAAAATTTACAGTGGAATTGGAGACAATGAACTCGATAAGTTTCTTAGACATAAAACTTATACGTACTACAGATAACAAACTAATAACAAATTGGTATCAAAAACCAACTAATTCCGGACGCTACCTTAATTACTTTTCTTATCATCCACTCAAAATGAAAATAGGTACTATAATAAATCTAACCGGACCACGCAATACTTCTATCGGACACAAACATTTTGGGACAACAACATCAAATTAATTACAAAAATTTTAACAGATAACTCTTATCCCCTAAAACTTATTAAATTCCGTAACTAGTAACAGACGAACGTACCTTTTGAATAAAATGGACAATTGCACAGTACATAACGATTTACCTGACTCAGAAACTCATTCTGGTGTAATATGTTTGCCATACATTAAAGAATTGTATGTTCCTTGAAAAAACTTTTTTATAAATCTGGACTTCGACTTGTAACCAATTTTAGTACAACTACTAGCACTATTTTTACAAAAACAAAAACCCCATTTAATATCGAACGACTCAGAAATCTCGTCTATCAAATAAATTGTTTAGACTGTAATTTAATTTACATAGGAGAAACTAGCCAGAACCTCAATAAACGGTTACAACAACATAAAAACAATTCAAAAAACCCCAAACAATTCAAAACTGTTCTTGCAGACCATATATACACTTTAAAACACAATATGGACTTTTCTAATCCGACTATACTACAATTTGAACAAAATTTATTTAAACGAAGAATTATAGAGGGATCTTTTTTAACTATTTATAACAATAAGACAATAAATAAACGGAATGAACTCAACACGCTGTGCGACACAAATCTCTTCTATTTAGATAACATTTCCAAATTTCTTACAAAACAATAAAAGCGTTCGCGCAAAGGTTTTACAATTCGTTCCACACATGTGCAGAATCTTGGTAAAAATATTTTTTAAAAAATGACTTTCTCCATTACATCTTCAACCAGTCTACGAATAACACACTATTCATTTGTGATTTTTTCAAATCAGTATTTTGTGAAAATATTGTGTAATTTCAAGTTAATGTTTATAATACATAGTGTAGTGCATTACCATATCCTAATACCATGGATTATTAAAATTTTCCAATTTAACACTAAGATCAACTAATTGTAAGTACTAATTACTATTTTATTTTTTTCTTTTCACTCCAATTCAATTGTTTTAGTTTTTAATTTTATTTTTAGTTTCCACTGAATGAAGGCTAGGATTATAGCCGAAACGTATGGATTTAAAATAAATTTTTGAAAGAAATTCATGTTTTTTATTGATGTTATGCCCGATTATTAGACTTTGTTAATACATATGTCAACATCAAATTCAGAATCATACAAAATATATATATATATATATATATATATATATATATATATATAATATACAATACACTTGTAACAAATCCTTTACACAACCTGAAAAAAGAAATTAAATACTAATATGGTTGGGAACTATAATTTTATGCTTACAAGACTGAAGATTAGAAGACTATTAAATTTAAATTCAAGAATAAATATAAAAATTTTAAGTGATTACCAAGTATCGTAGCACTATTTGCGCTGGCGTCTTGTTATACTTTTTGGATAAGTCCTCAACAATCGGACTCTTCAAAGCTGTCACAGGTGTTCCTGGACGATCGTCGTGTGGTCGTCCTGCGTATTAGGTTTCAATTTTAAATAACATATGTAATGTCGATTCACTAATAAAAGTTTGATGAAGAAGTTAACGTGGATAATGATAATTAAGAGGTAAAAATATCTATTTTTATATGGCATGTTCATTCGACATATTGGTAAACAATTGTTTATATGCAGAGCATAGTTTTCATTAATCACCTAATTATCATTTTTCATCTATTTAGGTATCATCATCACTGAAATAACTCCATATTACATTTCTGGTATATTACTTTAGATTAATCTAATCTAAATCTTAATAACTTTAGAAAACTATGCTCTGTATATAAATTAATTTTATACTAGTGCCAGTGGTCAACATCAATCAAAATATGTATGAAAATTCAAGTAAATCAATAAAATAAAATTGATTGAAACATTTTGTTGATGAGATGAATGAAAATATGTAAGCACTACAAAAATACGTAAATGCCTTACCAAGAGGCGTGTATCCTGTTACTACGATATCTCTCTCCTTGCAAAATTGTATGAGCTTACGCTGATTCAAATTCGGACTGCATTCTACTTGGTTTGTGACGGGTTTTATTTTGCAGACCGCCAGAATTCTATCGATTTGTTCACTGTTGAAATTGGACACTCCAATGCTGCGTGCCAATTTTAGCTGCACACATTCTTCCATCTTCTTCCATGTGTCGACATAATCTGTATCCGTGGTTATTAGTTGACCTTTGCCATCAGTAGGTAATAGATTCTCTTCTTCGCCCTCTTTCGGTTCCTTCAGTATATATAGGCGTTAAGACTATTATAGTTTTTGAAAATTGTAAATATTATAACTACAACGTTATATTACAATATATATTAACTACAATACTAATATAATTCAAAAAAAATCATGATAGCATATGAATTAGTAATTATACTTGCCACATATGCAACGGGCCAGTGAATTAGAAACAAATCCAAATATCCTAAACCTATGTTTTCTACAGATTTTCGACACATTTTTATCACACTTTCCGGGGAGTGATATGTGTTCCATAACTGAAAAGCATAAAAAATCATTGATCTAAATCATTAAAAAATCATAAATCTATATATTTCAACAGACTTTGCTTCGGCCACTATTTTGGTTTGAATGAATATTATAGCGGTTAATTCACTTCAAATAATATAACTTTTACCGAGAAAAACTCATTGTTTTTATACATAACAAAATAAAAAGAAGCGTATTAAAAGTATGTAAAGTATATATCAAGTAATCAAGTGTATTTAAACTTAAAAAGTTATCAGAAGAATGTTAAACAAAAAATAATACCAAACACACAAATTGTAACTTATTATAATAATTATTATAATAGTAATTATAAACATAAAAAGAAAATATTAGATTTATTTAAAATGTATTTGAAAAAGTTTTTTTTAAAACCGAAGAAAAATCAAGCGTTAGCTTCATAGATAACTATTCAACAAAAGATGTTTAAACAAAGTAATCCATTAGTTTCCCAATTGATATTCGAATAAATTTAAAATTTCCGTATTCGGAATTATGAGTTAATTAATTTTTAAGTTTGATCGCGTCGTTTGATTAATATATCAAATAAATTTACTTACCTTGCTAGTAACAAACAAGTCCTCCCGTTTGACAGTCCCATCATTAATTTTAGCTTTCAAACCTTCTCCGACCTCTTTCTCATTTCCGTAGAAATAGGCACAATCAAAATGCCTGTAACCCGCATCAACGGCTGTTTTGACGGCATTTTGAACTTCGCCTTGTGTTCCGGCCTAAGACATAATAATTTAAAAATATTTTATTAAATGATTCAATATATATATATAGGGTAGAGCAGGCTACCAATACTCCAAACACAAGTAAGTTAAGAAACTAAGGAAATGTTTGAAACTCCATAACAAAAGTAAATAGAGTAAAAGTATCATTCGCTGGTTTTTTTTGGTTGTGAGCGCTGTTTAGTTTACGAGACTCTAATATAATTTTTAAGTATACGTTATTTAATTTTTTTTATAACTAGATGACCTGACAGACGTTGTCCTGTACTCATGTCTACAATTTTTCAATATAATATACTAATATTTACTGTTTACCTAAAAATAATAATTATTGCTTCTTAAATTACTCTTCACGCCAAAATGCATATACATTTATAATATGAGCGATGTTAAATGTATAAGTGCTTTAAATAAAATGAGTCTCAATTCCCACACAATATTGGAAATTGAAGTCTTTTAAACGGTATAACATAACCATAACAATACACTGGTACTTCATGTTGGATTAAATTAATTGAATTTTTTGTTATTTAACACTTTCCACTCGGGAGTCGGACTGCTAGTCGGTACGCTGCGCTCGGAATATTATAGTGCTATACTTATCTCTCAACTCGGAATTTTTTTTGTATCGGATTTTTTCAAACTGTAATAAATTCAAAATAATTAAAAATAATAATAAAAAATAAAATTTTGAAAATTAAAAAAAATTGCACTCAAAACCATGCTAGTATTATGGAGATCATGAGCTAATAAATTAATTTTGTTATATATTTATTTATAAAATTAATAAATCAATCAATAAGTGAATGTAATAGTAAATTAATTTTTTAAAAAAGTAAAAATATTAAATGTTGTAAGTTTAGTTTAGCGGCATCCGAGTCGAAAGGGTTAAGATATCCAAAATTGCATTTTTGCATCCTAATCGCTATCGTGAGGGCCAAGTTGTATCTATTCATCTTATTATATATATTATATTTGTTATTATAAAGTGAAATTTTTATAAATTACGAAAAAATATTGTGAAAAGATTAGTAAAAGATGCTATTATTTCTACAATATTGCACATACATCCCAGTACTTTATAATCATATACATCCTAGAACATTTCCTTAACAAACTTCAGAAAGATTTATCAAAATCCGAATAATCCTTTAGGAGGAGTATACAGTGAGTAATTTTAATTTTATATGAACTTTATATAATAACAATAAAGCTCAAATTGACTCTACGCTTTAGTTAGAAAATGTTTGTATGTGTAAAATAAAAGGACTGTTTTTGGGGTTTTCCCGACGATCATTCGATTTTTTCTCGCCGTAAGAACCATTCTTGGACATCAAAGAACATTTTAAAAAAAGAATTGGCCAAATTGGTCCAGGCGTTGTTGAGTTATGCTCTTACCAACACATTTTGCGATGCATTTTTATATATAAGATATGTATGGTTATTTTAGATTTAATAGTTTTTTATATAACCTCTATAAAATCTTACACTTAGGTGGGGTAAAAAGCCAACGTAGCGCAATTTTACAAGAGATAAATAAAATAAAGAGTTCTTCCATCTCTGCTAATGAATAATACTGACAAAATATCAGCTATCCAATAATGTAGCTAGTATTTCGTTATTTTTAAAAATAAGATATTGGACCTCTTTCTAACAAGGTCTAGGTGAACAGCGAAAACACATTTCTACAATGATGTTTTGGCTTTTGAACATAGTCAGGTAGCTGTTTATTGAGATATATGCCATTTGTTGAGATATAATTGATTCGGCTTTCACAATATAATTGCTCAAAGCCAAATTAGACCTTTTTGCCCCGCCTTACCCTATATATGAGTTATATTATTATATGGAGTTATATAAAATTAATAGTCATTGTCTAAGAAATAAAATATAATAATTATTTTGAATCTTAGAGTTTTCTAAACCATATTTTTTCCATTATTCAGCTAAAATAATAACGAAAAAATTGTGTATTTTTTAAGCGACTAATATTGAACAAATTAAATTATTTTAATGATTTATGAAATTTTTGATACGGTTATATGGTTCTATTTTTATGTACAAGGTTAAAATGCGTTCCACAGTTCATATTATTATCTTACTTATTACTTGTATCAATAACGATAAGAATTATTAGATTATACTTTATTTATAATATAAATATTTTATAATGACAATTTAATAAGCTATCTTTATTTTAGTTTTAATAAAATTGTGACAATAGATTTTTGTAGTTTCAACGCGTTTTTTTACTCCAAATTTTTATAGTTACACCACTTATTGTAGGTCCATAATATTCTGGGACATAGTCCAGTCATCAAGCTTAAATTAGGTAAAATCTCGGAATTCGAGATCCCAGCTGTAAGCCTGTAAATACTTGTATATCGACACCCTAAAGTTGAGACAACTTTTACAAGTATTTACAGACTTACAGCTGGGTATTTCGAATTCCAAGGTGAACTTACTATAATGACTGGACTAATTCGCGTCAATACCATGAACTCTATCGTCGTAAAAAGTTTCTTTATTGACATAATATTTTCATATCTCAGTCAGACAGGGGTTCCTGGTATAAGAAAATATGAAACAATTTGTATATATACATATACACATATATCTAACACAAGTTTTATAAAAATTTTCAAAAACAGCCTTTTTTACAGCAATTAACTACGAAAAAATGGTACGGTCGATTAATCAAAACTGATCAGCATGATTTCAAACTGATACCTAACGAACGGTTTATTAAATTTTACACTTATTAGAAAGGCTACTAATTTGGTTTTATTAAAATTTTAATGACAGTAAAATTTCGTATGCTCACCAGGTATGTCCCAAGACCGATAACTGGTAACCGGTAGCCGTTACTGAGTGTAACTTGTGGCGCTGTCATTTTGACGTTGGTAGAAATTATTTTGTTTTTACTTTATTTTTGTTTTTATTTTTGTTTTTATTTTTGTTTTTTGTCTAATTATTTTGTTTTAATAATTAATTATTTTGTTCTAGCTATTGTCTACTGCGTTAGCAGTATCACACTGAACTCCTCTCTGCGCGATACTAAATTATGAATCAACGACTTATGGTTATCTTAATCAATAATTATTTATATTCAAACGCTACGATATTTCATTTGTTATGCTTTCTGTTTTTATCAATCTTAAATATTTGATGTAAAAATCCAATTAATGTTTCAATTCATTTTATCTGTGTAAACAACTTTAAATTATAATCAAAGTATGTGAAATTATAAAGATTTCTTTAAAGAAATCATGGCCATTGACCTACAATCGCTCAATGAGTAAATAAACTAGTATACACGATAGTATAGCACAAACTAGTATAGCACGATGCCATGCATACACTATAGTGTATGGCATCGTGCCTTAAGGCAAATTGCTAGAACTTCCCGTATAGTAACAAAATGTTCGAGGAATATTAAACGTTCCAATATTAATATTAGACTACGTTACAGTATTTATAATCATCTATTTGAGAATATAATTTTTATAAATATTTATAAAAATTATATAAACTGAATCACAAAGTCAAAAATATTTATTTGAAGTACATAAGTGAGCTTTAAAACTTTAGCCAGAATTAAAATCGAAATCTAAATTATTTTCGATATACAAAAAAAAAATTGAAATGAATTTTTTTCCAAAAGCAATTTTGTCACCACAAGCAGAAAGTTTTTGGAATCATTCAATTCGGATGCCTATTTCTTTCAAAAACTGCCATTTTTTGTACATTTAGCTCTGTACCTTCGAAATTATTGGGCCTGCCTTTGCCAAAATCTCCCTATCAATAGGAATCGAATGTTTTTTGAACCATTCAAATCGGTTGATCCGTGCGCCGGAAATGTGAACGAAAAAATGCGGACACACAAAACACACACACACATCCATTTTTTCTAAGGTATGCCAAAATGTTTAGAAACCTTCAAAATGTGGAGAAATGCAAAAATTTTCATTTTCGATTTTTGGCCCATTAACTACCCTACGGAAAGTAAAGAAATACTAATTGAATTATTAGCCGCCAAAACAAATTTGAAGATGTTTTAAGACTTTTTCAAAATAGCATAATACTTTTCCACTTTCCAATTATAATCTAAATGTTATTTGATGTAAAACTTGATAATTTGATATTACCAAAATACCAATTAGTTTCGGCAACAAAAATAATTATTTACGAAAATTTAAACCTAATAACCTTAAGGTTGTATGGTTGTATACAAATTTGTATGATTTATATAATAATAGACGAGATTAATCTTGTCTTATACTTTTTCTACTCTTTGCGGGGCATTACCTCTCAAATTGTAAAAAGCTTCGACTCTAAACTCAAATTGAATTTCAAGTAGTTCGACAAATGAATCAATTCTTCACTTGAGAAAACTTCAACGGAATTGAAGAAACTTCTTTTTTGATATGAAAATTCTTATTAGAGCCTTCACTTGCTTCTATTACGTAGTAAAATCTTGAGTTAATTTTACTGGAAATGGAAAAAATATTTCTTCTTCAACAATAAGCAAAATATTATTGCGTCAAAGTGATTTCATAGTTAAGAAAATTTCAATGTAGCTCTTAGATGTTTACTTGACATTTTATCATTGCAATTATATAGTTGAAAATAAAAGAATTATTGATACCTAAAATTTATTATTAGTAGTTGATTTATAAAATACTACAACTGCTAAGCTAATGATTATCATAAATGTAGATATATATGATAGTTTATAACTTCATTTTAAATTGCAAATAAGTTTAATTATTTGTGAATTAATTGTATTTGGTTGTATCATATTTCGAAAACAGCTGGCGCCATTTCTGCAATCTCCACATGCAAATTTTATCAAAATTGTCCCAACGTGATGCATTATTATAATTTAATAACGGCAAATAGTAGGTAATAAAAATTGAAGCCACAATTAAAATAATATTCAATTTTTCATTTTAGATAATACAAGGAAGCATTCAGAGATCGTCGAAACGACATGACGCCAGTAGCAGGATGAGGCCTGCCTCCGATCCAATCAATTTACCTTTTGATTATGTAAAAAATGTTGTCGGAAGTCAAACGGTAAGTAAAAATCTTTTTTTTATAATTATTTTTGAACAGCAATCAGCACCCAATAGTCCTATAAGCTGTTGTGCTGATAAGTAAAAATCATACTGATACATATTTTCCATTTGGGCCCCCCTCAGGATTAGTGGAGTAGAGGGATATACTGCTATTTCATTTACATATACTTTTTTAATTTGAGTAAACGATCCAGAATAACTTCGAGAAAGATTTAAGTTAGCGAATTGGATTTTTTGGCGAAAACATAAACTATTGAATACAAATAATGTTTATTTATAACTTTCAGAAAATTTTACGCTGGTTACATAATGAACAAAGAATATATAAGACATACAGCACTTATTATGAATAGTTTTCCTTATTGAGCTTAAGTTCAAATCAAAATTTTCAGTTTTAAATGTGAGGACACACTTGGATTTTCACCATTTAATAAAATCTAGTTGTAAAATCTAATAATTTTTGAACACTAACAAATTTATTAATATTTAGACAAAAAATCATGTAACAATATTTCCAAAAACAATACAGTAATACTAAAGATGCATAAATAAAACCAAACCATAAAAATAAATTGTAATTGTTGCATATTGAATAACGCATCGCTTTCATCAAGTGACATATTTTTTATGAAAGGAAGTGAGTTTTTCTTAAACATATCATCTCTCCATTTATTTATTAATCCACTCTCAAAAATGCTTGACAAAATCCAATCGAATCGTTTCAGAAAAGGTAAATTTTTGGCTGCCGACTTTGTGACATAATTTTTAGGAAATATTTCATAAGGCATTAAATGAATACGTTTCTTATTGGATTTATCGCCGCAATTAATCAATTGGTATTGTCTTGCATGTACATCGTCTATGAAAAATGCAGATGTTTTATGATTGCATACATCTCTAATAGCATCGCCATTATTTTCCATTAGTCTACTCGTAATGTTTGGCGATAAATGACCCGATTCTATTTTAGCATTCAAAATTGACTTGAGGAAATTCATTAAAGGAGATATGGTTGTCAAAGATAAATCGGTAGCGTCTAGTTCTTCCCAGGTATTAATATCGTAAATGTTTTTTGGGGTAGTTATACTACTTACTATATTTGCTTGAAATATAGAAGTTGTAATTAATGAAAAATATAATAATGTCATTACTATAGGGCTTTGATTGCATCGTGCATTATATGTTTGCGATACTAATAAACTTGTTCCAATAACTTTTATAATGAGCTCTATACAGCTTTCGCCTCTCACAAATGCAAATAGTTTTTTATTTGCAGTGTCTAAAATTTTCCATGTAATAATTATGAGAATGTACGTAAAAATAAACATTAGTAGATTATTAATGCCTAAGCTTCGAAGTAATAATTCTCCATAATTTTCATATATCTTTGCCATAACAAATGTAAACCTAACTTCGATTATTGGTTTCAGTAGCACTACATTTGACCAATTGATAGCTTGCAATCTTCTATTCTCCATAATAAAATCGATATTTCCCAGCTCCATCTGTTCCCAAGATCCTTTGAACGACGAATTTGGAAGATAACTCTCATATGCGCACATTGAAATAGGCAAATACACTTCTTTAAAATTCATTGACTTTTGTAAAGCTGCAAATGTCTGGTCAACATTTGGTCCAACTGTTACATTGTTTTCTAGAGATGCAATCTTTAATTGAAAATCGCAAGTTTTCAAATGATACCCATGCAAGTTATGAAAACGTTCTTCTAATCTTTTTTTGATGCCAAATATGTCACTGGACGCGTCATTTAATACAATATCAGTTACAGACCCTCTTTTACCGTCAATAACTAAGAAGGGTTGATAAAATGATACTTGATGTTTTATTTGTTCTTTTTCATTAATATTGTGATATTGTAAAATAATCACATCAAGCTTATAGTAAATTTTCCAAGCTCGTTCTAGTAAATCCTGAATCGATTGTGCTTGCAACTTGGACAGCATCACAATGATAGTAGATTGCGGAGATTTTTTTCCAATATCTAGCAATAAATGCTCCACAAAATATTGTGTATCTGATATTATTATATAACTTCTTGTCATATCAAATTTTATGTCACCAAGGCGGGGTTTTATGTTCCTAATAATGTATAAATAATGAATTGATATTTGTGGGATATTGATTGCATTTTCATTACTTACTCAGAAGATTTTAAAACGGTGTTAATTGCAGGCAAATTTAAAATTCCTTTGTATAAGTGGTTGAATGTATCAAATATTGGCTTCGAAATAGTATCTTTTTCGCATATTATCTCAACATCATACGAGTTCTGCAAAATTTCAACATTTCATAATGGATGTAATTTCATATAAACGATAAATGATTTGAATGAGTTATCAATCGTGTAAATAGTATTTCGTAAATACTTTGAAATTTTAAGAACAGTTTTATATATTTTATATATATACCATGTTATAAAATACATCGTCTAAAGTTCTGTATTGGCAATATATTTTTATTCTATAATATAGATAAAATCAATTTTTACCTTCATCTGATTTTTTAAGAATGTTACAATGTGATTAAAACTTTGTATATATACATTTTCGGCTATTTTCATATCACCGCTGGCATTTTTGTTCAAAATTATTATTGAATAAAATATTAGTATTTTCATCAGCATTTTTAACTATTCAGTTAGGTTTAGATCCTTTAAATAACAATAAGCGTATTATGCATACGTGCAATATATTATATGCATTTAATTTCACAGATGCATTTCAAATCAAACGTAGTTATTATTGCCAAAGCTTTTACCTAAATTATCTATTTTTCATTATGCTAATATCTGTATAATTCGTATTGATCCATTGATGCATATTATAATATATGCATAATAATTAATTATTATTTTTACACTTTTATTTTGCGAATGGTAGTCTGATGAGTCCAAAAAAACTGTTGGACTTTATATTATATGGATTCACGTTATTAAAATTCGTATTGATCCATTGATGCATATTATTATATATGCATAATAATTAATTATTATTTTTACACTTTTATTTTGCGAATGGTAGTCTGATGAGTCCAAAAAACTGTTGAACTTACATACAATGTAAACAAATATTGTTTAAGTTTTTTGAATAGCTATTATTAATTATGAATCTTAAACTTCTGAACTAAGGGTCTTTTTCTCCATAGTTTTCATTTATTTTAATTAACTTCCTATCGCAAAAAAATCGAAAATGAACATTTTTATATATCTTTACGTTTAAAAGGTTTTTGAACATTCTGGCATAACTTATTGTTAGAAAAAATGGATGTATGTGTATGTGTGTGCGGATACAAATTTTCGTCGACGATTTTAGGAACACCGATCAACCGATTTGAATAATTAAAAAAACATTCGATTCGTATTGATAATGAGACGTGCTGATTAGCTTTTGGCGAAGGCAAGTCCGGCCGTTCCAAAGATACGGACAAAAAGTGCCAAAAACGATAATTCAGTTTTCTGAGTTCCATTCAAATCGGAGCGTCCGATTTTTATAATTCAAAAAACATTTTACTTGTATTGACAATGTACGGTACAAGATGAAAAACTGTTTAAATTTTTAGGAAGGCAGGTCCAGCGGTTAGAGACTCTCAATAAAAATAAGTTAGAAAATGTCATTTGGCGGTCAAAAATGGTTATTGGACATATGTACATCAAATAATCAGATATTTTATAAAATATAAGAGATTTTAATAGTGTATACACATTTTGTGTAAATTTGGGTTTTGTACCAAGATTTTTAATTACGGTACGGAAAGTTCCAGCAATTTGCCTTTAGGTACGACGATGCCAAGCACCACCACTAGTTTTTTCGTCGCTTTATTCAACGTCTCGGGGGGACATGGGATCTCCTTGAAGTTCCTGAAAGAGGCCTCTTTCAGGAACTTCAAGAATAATTAACAATTTTTCAATTCAAACACTTAACATACAACAAAATTCACTAATGAATTTGATGAATTTTGAAATAAGTTTTTATAAACTCAGTATAGTGAGTTTTGATGTAAGTTGAGTGTTTGAATTGCAAATTGGTTGTCATTAAGGGAAGGCCTGCTTTATAGGCTTCAAAAAATCGCTTTTTGGGGAATTTTTAGAGAAGAGAGATATTGTTATATATCTTATCATTCTTCTCAATTTTTTTCATTAAAATATAAGACATTTTGCCGATGCGCCACGAGCGTGCCGGTGTCATTTGGCGGGAAATATGCAACGACTTAAGTCACAATTTCCATCCAAAACAAAAAAAAAATCAAATCAAATATAAATTTTCAATAGTATAGATTCTTATTGAACCTAAAAAATCCAGAAAAAATGAGGAATTCACCAATTTGCAATTTGACAAAAAATGTTTTTTGAAACAAAATTTCGCTTTAAATTGTTTGAAAAGTGGGTTAATTATAACTTTTTTAGGTTTTTTTTAAGGTTTAATTAGAAAAGAATTTACTCCTGAATACAATGAATTTTGTTTCGATTCGACAGGACCGTTTAGTTTTTTCGCCATCTTTCCCGCCAATTACGAAGAATCGAAAAAATTAAAACCTGAGAAATTGTGAAACATGTTTAACGCTTGCTCACTATTTCTTCTGTAATTCCGAAAATAATTTGAATTTGGTTTTGAAATTTTAGGGATATATTCTTGGCTAGTTTTGGAAAACATTTTTGCAAAAAAAAAATATCGATTTTTTTAAGCCTCTAAAGCAGGCTCCCCCCTTAATTTGCTGAAGAAGGGGCCATCTCATATCACCGAAATGTTGAATATAATAATAGAACAAAAATTGAATAAATTAAAAAAAAATAGAGAGAAAAGGATGATATTAATTATAATATCATAGTTAACTTAGTTTAAGAGTCATATTTAATAAAAGCTATCTAGATCTAGATATAGTTTTCGAAAACTTAAACAGATAATTCAAATGAGCCTAAATGATTGTCCAAATGTTTTATGAGTGTAGGTAATGCAAAAAATATATTTTTCAGATGAATTCATCAATGGTTTCGAAGTCGCAAGCTGTAAAACCCGATCTTACTTATAGTGGTCTCGATCGAGTGATTGCAGACTCTTTTATTAAATCATATAATAAACCAGAATCAAACGCAATAACGGATACTAATACAAACCTGAACGCCGATTTATGATATTAACAAGACGTGAAAAAAGAATGTTAACATTCTTATAATTAGAAATCAGATGCAATCTACAAAACCTTCCTTAGCCGGTGCAATATAATGAATGTCGATAAAGTTATTTCAAAAAACCTATTACATATTAAAACAATTTGTCCATTTAGTGCGATAACACTTTACTATTAATGTATTCATTTTTCAGTTAACTAAAAATTAAAATACTTTTCAAAATTGTAAAAGTTTACATAGTTTATATATTGTATATATATATATATATATATATATATATATATATATATATGTATATTTATTAGTTCAATATATTTTATTATAGTACCGCTTGATTTAATTGACTTTAAAAATATGATTGATTTTGTATATTATTTTAGATCTTAAACCATTTGATATTATTTTATGGGTTAATACAAACTGTAATAATTATTAAATATAAATATTATAGGAATGGCATTCTCATAGCAAATTTATTTTTAGATTTTTTGGACATATGTATAATATGTCCTATATATATGTATAATATTGTATAAACTATAGTATTATATATATTATATAGTATTATATATATATATATATATATATATAATTAGTTTTTACAGTTTATGAAAGAAATTATCCTCATACCATCACATTGCATAGGCAGTGAAAATTATAAGACAAATAGAATGTATTTTGTTGTAAAATGAAAATTAACTTTTATATAAAACTTTATAGTTTTATGTATATACTTTATAGTTTATATTGAGAATATTTTATATATATAAGAATATATAAATACTGTTAATTTTATGAAAAATCATAAACCACTTATTAAAAAATATATAAATAAAAGTTTTCTATTAATGCAAAATATTTTATTAGATACTAATTTGTTTTATTAATTATAATGTATTTATATATATATATATATATATATATATATATATATATATATATATATATTTTTTTTATTTCTGTTAATTTTAACAATCAGATTACAATACAATCTATAAGTTAAAAGTTATGGTATTGAAAATCAAAATCAAAAAGAAAAAAAAATAGAATAAAGGAAATTAAAGAAAAGAAATAGAATAAATGAATGAATAAAATATATATATATATATAATTATATTACATATCAGAATGATAACTAGAGTCAGTTTTAACTTTTTCTTGATTTCTGATATTTTATTATGTAAATCTTCCATGCTGTATTTAGTTTTAGTATGAAATTTGATATTCTTATTGAAATTTGTGTATTTGTCTATCTGTTGAGGTAACTTTGCAGAATCATTTTTCCAGAAGTTGGAGTATTCAGGAGAAATTGAATCTAATTCTAAAATTCTGTCCTCTATATGTTTCAATCTAGCATATATATCAGAAGACAAGGGACGATCCACACCAACATGCTTCTCGCAATTTGTGATACGCTCATTAACTGAAATTGGCAAGTCAGAAGTATGTTTACTAATACATTCATCAATATTAGTTGAGGACTTTGAAATTTGGGGTCCCCATTCATTTACTACTTTATGTATTTTCAAATGACTTTTTGAGTCCGATCTTTTCCATAGAACTGCATCAACTCTTGCACACTGATTCTCATTGGAAATGTTTTGCTTAGAAGCTTTCATTAAATTAATTTGAACAAATTCCTTATATTTCTTTGGTTTATGGCTGTCCTTTTCATTTGAATGAAGTTTTCAATCCTTCTATTAATTTCAAAATTATTGGCTTTGATTTGAATTAAATCCGGGGATACATCATCAATTTCAACTAAATCATGATTTAATTTATTCTGATTTTTGTATTGAATATTACCATAAGTATCATCTATGAAATCTGATGGATCAAATGATTTAATTTTATTTACAGCGAACTGAATAACATCTGCAGCATCTGACACGGATGATGAACTAACAGCTACAATAAAGCTAATTTCATTTATATTTAATAACCCTATTTTTTTGTATATGGCAATGTGCAGTATACTTTTCCATTTACAACGAATTTCAAAACAAGTGTGATGAAAATACTTTTTAAATTGATCATTTTCTGTTTCATCATCAAAACTTTGCATAATAATTTTATTCCTTTCAACAAATAGAAGGTCAGAACTGGAATCTGTATGTGATACAAGATCATTCACTTCGGATACATTTAATGCATCCTTGGAACACTTAATAAAATTCATTAATGCTGTCTTAAAATAAACGAGACACTTGTAAATTGATAAGTGCTTAATAGCCAATAGCGAACTTGATTAACGCGAATTTAATATAAAATCAAATGTGCGATTGTGTTACAAATAAATAAAAATCAGAAGTAAATAAATTTAATTTATATACATAACATGCAAATGTTATACTTGATTATGAGAATATAACCTCATTTTTTATATTGTGAAAGAAGACCTTAGACATCTAGAATCAGTCAAGAGGCATTCATTTCGCTCTGTCGAAACAAATCAAATAGTCACAAAAACCAAATAATGGACAATGGCTTGAAAACATGGTAATCAGCATTGTTTATTAATCGTAATCACAATCGTGGAATACATTATGATACATTATCATTGTCTAGGGTTGAATATATGCGTAAAGGTGCATCCACACCTCACGAACGAACACTAATAAACATGGCTACAGACATTATGTTTATTTATCTATGGCTACAGAATTTTGACACATGTTGCTAACTTTAATTGCTTCGATTGTCAAAGAAATTTTCGTGAATTAATATGTTCTCGCGTTAATTAGAGACTTTTTAATTAAATCTTTGATTGGATTCTGTCTAATTTGTACATCAACTCGTTTAATATTTAGATAATTAATGATATATAATATAGGAAATTCATCGCGAAATGTTCATAAAAGTAAAAAAATTGGGTGTGTTGTCGAAGTACCTAGGTTGTACCTTGAATAGTTTGATAAGTATCTCTTTTCAGGGTCTCCATTTTAAATCAATTTTATAATAAACAATTTTTTCACAGCGCCAATGTATCCCATTATATACATGCAATTATCAATATTAAAATTTATATATGTGCTTTTGTAGGTTATACTTAAGTACTTCTACCACACATATCTGTTTTTATAGAATTCTAAATTCACGAAAGTCTCTAATATAAGTTTTGTGTCGTGTATTGTTAAAGATTTTACTCGGACAATTGCTACAGGTCAAATAGACTTGTAAAAGACTAAAGTTTATGTACTGGTTCTAAAGTAGTGATTTTGTGTCGAGTACTTGAGTTTTCTAGCAGATGCTCCAGAGGTGGTTCCAGTAATGACCAATAGCGAGTCAAAGAATATTTTTCTGGAATCATATACAGGCATTTATCGTACTATATCTGTTGCACCTATAGTGTTTTATATATTCAATATTTAACCTATATATGTATATATATATATATATATATATATATATAA